AAAGGGAACTTTGTTACACATAAATCCAGACACAAATTCTCGGCACTTGCCCATGATCAAGTTCATGAGCAACTAAATGCAATGGTGAAGGGAGATGGAGGTGATAGGTATAACTGAAAATGAAGCAGCACTAAGACGGTGGATGGTGGCAGGTCCAGAGACATCTAGACTACTGACAGAGTATGAAGATAAAATGTCAATGAAAAGAAAAGATACAGAGCGTCATCATGAACAAATTCCAAGTGTCCAGAGATGTTTCCTTACTCATGTCAAAAGTGTAGTTGATATTATTATGGAAATTGGAAACCCATTTTCTGATACAAGCACAGACCTCTATGCACTTGACACCAAACATATAATGTCCAACTATGAGGTGCATACCATAAAGACTGCAGAAGACATAGGCAAAGCACAGTACCAGAAATTTGCTGCAGAACGTGTCTATGATAATATTACTGCATTCAGTGACTCCATACACAAGAACAATTTACCACTCCTAAATTCTAATTCTCATAAGAAACCAAAGTCCACTTCGAAAATCTCTAACCTTTGAAATGATGTCCATCTTTTCTCACGGATGTATATTTCATGTCAAGCTAGAAATGGTGATTTGGATGCCTTCTTCAGACATGAAAATTATGCCTGGCCCCCATCGTTGGCATCAAATAACACCATACATCAAACCATTTAATTCTGATTTAAGGAAGTGCTTATATCCGTTGGTAGGCCAACCTCAAAAGGAATGTATTCCCAAAGTCGATGTTAGAATTGTTGATGGTGCCACTTTTGTACATATGCTTGACCCAAAAAAATCCCAGCTTTCAGTGAAAACATTTCAGGATTATTCACAATTGATATTTTTGCCCTATATAGAACGGCCCTACAAGACGTTTTGCGGGAAGATGTTGTCTGGGATGTCTACTGGGAAGACAGCCTAAAAGCAGAAACACGAAAGAATCGTGGATCCGGAAACCATCTCCTGGTCGCCAACAACACAACTATCCCATTTAACTGGAAGAACTTTCTTTGCTGTGATGCTAACAAAGATAGTCTCTTCAAACTTTTGGCCAATGCAATAAAGGACTTTCATCCTCCTCAACATAAGCAATTTATCTCCACCTATAGCCAGGATGCTGTATCATCTTCCATAGATGACCTTGCAGATTTGTGGTGCTCTCATGAAGAAGCGGATACACGACTCATGTTTCATGCTTCCCATGCGTTCCATCATGGATTTACTAAATTGATGATACATACAGCAGATACTGATGTAGTAGTACTCGCAATTGCTGTATCAAGTGTTTTACATAACTGTGAATTATGGATAGCCTCTGGTCATGGTTCTAAACTAAATTACATCCCCTGTCACCTAATTGCAGCTGAATTAGGCAACGATGCATCATGGGGTCTTTTGTTCATGCACGCAATATCAGGATGTGATCGATACTGTTTCTCCTTTTCATGGAATTGGGAAAAAAACAGCTTGGGCTGTTTGGCGCAGTATGCCTCATTTAAACTCTGTTTTTGCTCGGTTATCTAATGCTCCAAGCCAGGTATCACCTGAGGACTTGGACCAAATAGAGAGATTTGTTGTTCTCCTGTATCAGCGAACATCATCAATTAACCATATGTAAATGAAGCCAGGAAGCAGTTATTCATTCACAACCATAAGATGGAAAACATTCCTCCAACACTGAATGCACTGGAACAACATGTGAACCGGGCTGCTTATCAAGCAGGGCACATCTGGGGACAGTCACTTATAGGAAAGCCACATGTTCCATCACCAGGTAAATGGGGCTGGGAGAGGGTGAAAGATGATGGCTCATGGACTCAATTCTGGACCACTCTTCCAGAGGCAGCTGAAGACTGTCAAGAACTGTTAAAATGCGGATGCAAAAAATCTTGCACAAAACGATGCAAGTGTGTCAGAGCAAATCTTGTTGTACACAATTGTGCTTCTGTTCAGGACAGTGCATCAGAGAATAAGATAATATTTAGCCAGTAGAAAGCAGATGTTCTACATACAAGAAGAAAAAAAATCTTGTATTTATTACTTTTTATTTTCTTTACGAAGACAGAATAACATAATAATGTGACTTTTATATCCACAGTTTGTTCCGCAATTGGGGCTTAAATTTATGTTCTATTGGATTCCTTGACCTAATAAACATAGGTTTAGACACCAAGATCATGACAATTGAGACATTTGAGGTTGTTTTATTGTAAAAAAACATGTTTTTTGGCAGCCATTATGTTTTTCGCCATTTTAGCGGGAACGGTTGGAGTACCATTGTGGTTCCCGTAATTTTTGGAATCAGCACCCTAAAATAATAATAATAATAATAATAATAGTAATAATAATAATAATAATAATAATAATAATGATAATAATAACATGTATACTACTATCTGACTCCGTTGTTTGCATACAAATGTAAAACATGGAAGTAATGTACCGTGAGGGACAATACTGGTAAAGAAAAATCAGAACCAGTAAGGTAGTTCCCTGAATGATGCTGTTGTGACAACAGCGAAAGCTCAGACTCAGAAAAACAAAGACTCTGAAAGGTAACATTTTCACTAATAATAATAATATTAAAAACAACAAGAAGAACAATAATAATAATAATAATAATAATAATAATTAAATAATAATAATAATAATAATTAAATAATAATAATTGAATAATGATAATAATTATTATAAAGAAAATAAAAATAACAAATATGATTCTTTACAGTTTTATTTCACTGTTCTTACTTTTATTTCATTACATTCTCCTATCAACAGAAATTAATTCAAGGTTTGTTATTGGCCAAAAAGATATAGCCATTGCATTTAAAAATATCACAAAATATCATATGATAGTAAGTAAATACTACTGTAGATATTACAAAGGAAAAAAGTAATTTAAGAAACTTCCAATAAAAATTGAATAATATTATAATGATATTAGTAATAGTAATGGTAATAATAAAGTAACAAAAATAATATTTTATTTGAGTAAATAATTGTTTTGTTTGAATAAAAGTAATTCAAGAAACTTCCAAAAATATGGTCACAATGCTATATTTAAATTATACTGTAGTATTATATGTATATATTGATATAATATAAAATGACACAAAAAAAGAGTAAATGAAATGTTGACTGTAAAGAAAAAATATATTTCTAGAAATCACTCAATTGCATAATTATGAGAAGTATGAAGTTTTGTATTTGGAGTACTGAATGTTTATGCCTAGGTAGTCTACACCCAGTTTCTAATTCATAATACACAAAAGAATAAAATATGTCTGATAAAAACAGATCCTAGCACAGCCGAAACCTGTTGTAGACCAACATCAAGACATACACCCCATTGTGCATCTCCACCTTACAATGTTATGATCCATTGTTGGATGGCTTTTGACAGGGTTGGCTTTTACCAAGGGTGGCTCTATCCGCAAAAATCTCCCCGGATTCCCTGTTGCTGAGCATTTCATAACCATGTATCAACAACATGAAATATGCCATTATCACCGGGTAATTTCAAGTCTCAATCGGACAGAAAAATTAATGAACTCAAATATATTCTCAAATACAAAACCCACCTCTTTGGCCTTAACAAATATCTTGGTATCATTAGCAATTGCACATTCAGCCACCACTAACATCATTCTTATGGTTGCCATTTTTTCCCCTTTTTTTTGATCACAACTTATTATTATATCATTAATTATGTTGTTTATTTTTGTCATATCCCAGCTACTGTTTGATTTTCATTGTTATTTTTTGATCACAACTTATTATTATATCATTAATTATGTTGTTTATTTTTGTCATATCCCGGCTACTGTTTGATTTTCATTGTTATTTTTTGGTTTTTGCTTTTGATCACTCATACCTATTTGCAATTCAGGGGCCATATTTATCAAACTAGAAGTCAGCTTAAATTTGTCTTAAGTCCATTTTTTTGCTTAAGCCAAATTTATCCATATTGCTTAGATTAAAAATTGCTTAAAATTAGAAAGTCTTTTGTACGTTGACACCATCTAAGACGATTTTTTAAGCGAAAATTTTGCCAAGATTGGGTAATAAATCAGCTTAAGATATTTATTAGGGACATCTTAACTTTCTTGACTTAAGACATTATTGCTAAGCTGAGATTCAGACCTAGACATATTTTTATTCATCCGTGTATTTTGGCCTATCTTTTTTATTTCATTCATTTATCACATTAGTGTATTATTATTTTGAGTGGTTTTATTGTAACATGTATTTTATTTATTTTTTATCTTCCTGATGTAGCTATTCTACACTCTTTTTCATTATACTTTTTCATAATATAAATTCATTTTGACTATTATATTTATTTAACTCGCCATAGACATTACACTTTGATTATATCACATATTTTATACTTGCGTTCATTGTGGCCTAAATGTTATGCTATGTTTCTGTATATTTTCCTGTTTTTATTTTAAATTTTGGTCAATATAATATCTGTTTATTTTACTGTTAGCATAATGTGGGAACGACTATTAATCTCCGTTCTCATTACAAACTGTTTATTATTATTAATGTATACCCGATTTTAATTACTCTCATTATAATCCGCATTGTTTATTCTTTAACTCCTCCCACAGTGGTTATGTGTGTCCACTGTTTGCTAGTTTTTTTTATGTACCTTGATAAAGACCTGGGGATAGGTCGAAATATAAGTGTTTCTAAAATCATACATAGTGTTCATTTCCTATATTCTATTGTTATCGAAACTCATGTTTATAAATTATTAAACTATCGTAGCCAAAAAGAGGCTAAGTGGAGAAATCAGATTTAAAAATAAAGTACTGAGAATTAAGTGAAAATTGAAATCGTGTAAGTTACACACATACAGTACACCTGTCTCTTATACACATCTAGATGTGTATAAGAGACAGGACACATATATATATATATATATAGACATATAAACTACATAAATTTAGTGTAATTTTATTCATTTTATGGGTAGGCATGTCCCTTGTGCGGCAAAAGTTTAGTGAATGTGTCCAGACACATAAAACAAAAACACAGGGTCTCAGATAATTACCGAAAAGCATGCTTGGTGGAGATGAAAGCAAAGTAAGTATTAAAACACAAAGAAAAAATATATATTAATTCAAATAAATGCCCAAGGCATTTATTGTTGGGAGGGGCTTTGAAGGGGGACATTTATTTGGTGGATACGTATATACTCCAATAAACGCCCCTTAATTTCACTGTAAATTTGGACCTACAACACACTAATTACCGTCAAAATGTGTATTGCGTGATCATAAAAACTTACAAATTCCAACCAGGTTAGGAAACTGCCAAGTAGAACAGTAATGGAGTGTTGAAAATGATGTTGCTTCCTCAGTTTTGTTGAGGGAAGTGTTTATGCACAATGAGGCTCTGGAGGGGAATTTTGTTTTCGAGAGGGGTAAACACCCCTCTCGAAAACAAAATTCCCCTCCAGAGCCTCATTGTGCATAAACACTTCCCTCGAAAATTATAAAAAAAATTGTTGAAATGGCACATTTATGTACTCTCTCATTGCAAATGCTATTTCTGTGAAGTTAATGGTACCTTATGCTTGGTATTTGGATAAATATGGTAAAGGAACTTAAAATAATGAAGTTGAATTTTTGGTTTAGGCAGACTCACACTGCAGTCAATTTGCGTACTCTACAATTTTGACGTGCATATAACATTTTTTTGTGGCATTGCATATGCCTGCTGTCAAAATAAGATGTGTATTTATATCAAATTTTATGGATTAAATAAATTATATTAAATAATTTTAAAATGCCAGAGATTTTAAGAGTTTTCACAACAGTCATCCTCAGTCTATGACTAATGTTAATAGCATTTCTCTGAATACTTATTGAAACTGCCCAAGTATAAGCCAATGTAAGTAGCAATGTAACATTTTGTTTTATTTAACTAAATTTACTAGGGAGATGGAAAAATTGGGTAAAACCCGAAAATTGACCCAGTGCGGAAAATGTGGCAGCTCTGTGGTTAGGCTCGACAGGCATCTTCGTGTAGTTCATAAACTACAGGTACTGTATTGACTACAGTAAAGCAAAACAACTAAGACTTTGTTAAGCACTAAAACTTCATACATGTATTTCAAAATTATAAAAAAAATTGTTGAAATGGCACATTTATGTACTCTCTCATTGCAAATGCTATTTCTGTGAAGTTAATGGTACCTTATGCTTGGTATTTCATGCTTTAATTTATAAATTGTAGAAGACAACACTATGTAATATTTTGTCTTAACATATTAGAATCATACTATCAAACCTAATTCCACCCTATCAAAATTCAATACTGAAAATTACATAAAAAGGAAAATATATAAATTACAAATGTTCTTATCAATCTCTTATAGAAGTATGAATCGGATTACAGAAAACTAATGAAAAGACGAAAAAAAGGTAAGGTTCCAACTATTATAATCAATTTTATAGTACTTTTTCTTCAGTATATTGTGTAGTTAATTAATCATCAATTAATCAATAGAATACAGTGACTCACTTCTACTCAATCAATCAATCAATCAATCAATTAGGTCTGTTATGTGTGGGTGTTTTTCTGTAACACTTTTTTGAGCTGCGCGGGTTTTAGCACACTGTAGTGCAGGGAAGGTTAATTTCATGGTTTTCTTCACTTAGCCAGAGCCTCATTAGCCTTTCGCTGGAAGGTAATATTTCCTAGGGTGCACCATGAAGAGGTGAGGCTGGTTTGAGTGTTGTAAGATATGCCAGCAGGCTACTAATTTTCACTTTTCCACCAAATTGGACTACCTGAACTCAACACCACTGGCTGTAGTGCCTAGCAAATGAACACCAAACTTCACTTATGTCCCAGTTGGGACGAAGAGGATTAATGTATGGGTGCTGATAAATATTGTATTTGGTAATGATCTCTGTCTGATAATGCTTTTGTAATATATTTTGTCAAGTAAAACAATACACATATTGTAGAACTGTTTTGATCTTTTAAACCAAACGCAATTGATGTTAATTTACTGAATGTTTTCGTTGATGTTATCAACATAACTACCTCTTGAACCAATTTGAACTACTATCAGTTGTTTTGGTTTGAATCTTGAATCTTACTGTTGTATTCATTACATTCAGAAGCCACCGAAATCCATCCATTTGTAGCCTATCTGCGGAACACACGTGGACACAGCAAACGCAACAGTCAACAAACACTTACAGAGCTGCATTACATCTGTGATGGGGATTATTCCAACATCTTTAATGGCAAGTTTATAAGGCAGTAAGTTTTGTATCTTAAACTAATTGTCATCACCTCTATCCTAATCATTTCAACATTTATTATTAGCATTACTTTAAATACTAATTGAAAAATAAGACAAGATACCATAAATAATAATTTTATAATGTGAGTTGCTTAAATTACAGGTACAGCATGAAACAAAAAGCAAAGCATGAAGATTTACAGGCCCCTTTTTTGTAGTTTACACTAATTTATTGGTAATCTGACAAGTATATAGAGTTTTGTAGGTACAATGTTACCACAGATCCTGATGGAAAAGTCATTCATTCTGGACACTAGATCTGTTTATGGGTTGTGGCCTATGATAGATTTCTGCAGAATTTTTGTCTATTTCTGTGCGTCTATAATTAGGCAATGTTTCCGTATAGCAACTACAGACATTCCATAGAACTTGAGAACTTTGTAACAAATAATTCATCAAGTACTGTGTTCAGATGCTTTCACAACTGTTTCATTATGTGTTATTAAGATGTATCATGTGACTGAATTATTATTTTTTTTCTTATTATATTCATTCTAAATATAGCAAACTTGAACAACTGAGAACTCAAAGAACTGCATCTACAGTCCGGCACTATTTGACTAGTGGCCAACTCTATTTGGAGTTCTTAACTCTTGAGGAACCTGACATCCCTGCTGCGAATATGGTGCGGGCTCAAACTGTTATTAGGGTCTTGGGAAAATCATTGTCAAAGGCTTTAGCCTGCCAACGTGAGGCGAAAAAAAGCAAAATAAATGGTAATATTATCGATAGAAAATTTAAAAAAAAAATTGTTTAATTTTAGCACATACAGGCCTTCCTCTACTGAATGTCTCTTTTGTTTTATTAAAAATTATGTTTTTAATTAAAGACAACAGTTGCTAAAGAGAGAACCCTGGTCCCAAAAGTGGTTTTTAATTGGAGAGAGACCTACATAACTATTTATTAACTGTTAAAGCCTAGTTTCCATAAAAATCGCTGCACACTATTGCCAACTCCTTTAGCGACGCTAATTGGTCGGTTAAATCTGGGATCTTTCCCGATGGCATCGAGGACTGCTGCACAGTATAATAACAGCACTAAAAATGCTGTAGCGCCTCTAGTGTTAATGGTAAACTACATTATGCTGTCATCAATTTTACCAAAACATGCTGTTACACAACACGCGCAACGCGCATAGGACAGTTCCAGTGAACACGTCATTTTACGGTATAACGTACAGTGTTATTGAATAAAACTTTGATGTTTTATATGTTTAATGAGACGACTATCATTAAATGGTGGCAGCTAGTGAATGCTGATATACCAAGGAACTCCTGTAAGTAAAATGAATACACATACAGTACACACATGCGTGACTGTTGAAAGTTTTTTTTGAGTCGCCCACTACCTGGAACTAGCTGGGACGGAGCTCTGCCTACTTTTTATGTTCTTACGTATGGAGGGTGTGTACGCGTACCGTAAAGAGTGAAACACCGTTAGCGAGGAGGCCAGTCAATAAACTTAACGTATGTCATCTGAAATGCCTAAAATAGAGACCTTGCCAAAGCTTGCATTTTGTGATGAATGAATGAACCATATTTTGTCATCAGGCCTGTCCGAGGCAAATCAAAAAGTACCTAAAGAACTGTGGCAACTTGACATATTTTTTGGAACTTAAGTCATCAGAACATTGTCAAAAATGCTGTTTTGACACTATTTTTTAAAAAGTCAGTGCATATTAATGTTATGTATTGAAATTTAAAAAAAAAAATACAAATGCGCCCCCTCCCCCAGTTTTGGAAAATTCTGGATCCGCCCCCTGTTCAATGGGAATAATTAAAAATGGTTTATGTTCTACTATGACAAGTGCTCATTTGGATATCCTCATGATGCTTGGAATACATCTTGATCGGGGAGCAACCTCATGGTTTTCAGATTTCAGGCAGAATTTCCAAAATTTATAACTTTACTTTTAATAAAAAGCTTGTACTGTGACATTCCTGACATAGTGTTTTCTTAATTCATCTTAGTATAATGTCACAAATTGGTGACCTTACAATTTACAGTAAGACATTATTCTTATTTGTAATTTTGTTAATAATTCACAATCTCATGGATTATGAAAAACCTGGATTTCGCCATAATGGGAGGATAGTATTGTAATGTAATATGGTAGTTTTTTTTTTTTTAAGAGAACAAGGGAAAACATTAAGAGATTAAGATTAAGAGATGAGATCGATATTTATTGGGGAACAGTGAAATGGGGCAGCACAGCAAGTGAGGCTCGCTTCGCTCGCCTAGTACCCCTTCCCCATCGGGGCCTTTAGCCCCCACCCCATCGTGCAGATCCTGGCGCCATCACTGCCTATGATATTGTAATCAGTAAACCTGTAAACCGAAAGGTCCACTGATTAATCTCAGATAAGAAAGTATAATACATACTCCAAGTAGTGAAATACACGCCATCGTGTTGGGATTCAATATTTCGACATTAATTATGTCATCATCAGTAAACCTGTTGAATGTAATATGCCATTGAAGAAGATAAATTCTATTGATGATTTACAGTGAAACTTTCCAGAATGTTTTGATAGAGTTGGCTGTTTAAAGAACCAACCAAGCTACATCTGAAACAAGATGCAGAATCATATATTGACGCCCCAAGATGCTTTTCAATCCACATGAAACAGAGAGATTAAAGTAGAGCTAGGTAAAATGGAATCTGAGGAGATCCTCAAGAAAGTAACAGGACACACTGATTGGTATTGCTCACTCAATATGTAACTAAAAGCGATGGCAGCCTGCGTGTTTGCCTTGATCCTCATCAATTAAACGCTGCACTCAAATGATATCTATGGAAATTCCGAACTTAATCCAAATTTTGTGAAAGCAAAGGCAGCTTAGTGGAGCGTGAAACTATCTGAAAAGTCACAAATACTTGCTACTTTCAAGACACCATTCGATTGATATTGTTTTACACGACTCCCATACGCTCCAGTGAATTTGCAAAGTTTCAAGAAAAAAGCGGAGAGATTTTAAGCAAATGCTGAGGTGCAGTAGGAATTGCTGATGATATCATCGTGTATGGCACAACCAAAGAAGAGCATGATACAAACCTTCTTGAGTTAGGCTGCTAGCGAAGGACTATGGTCTTGCACTCAACTCTGCAAAGTGCACAGTGAAAATAGACAGAATCAAGTTTTGGATGCATCTACACTGACAAGTGTGTCCTCTGTGACCCAGACAAGGTAGGAGATATTACAAATATGCCTCAGCCATGTGATAAACAGGAACTGTAATGTTTTGTTGGCATGGTAATCTCCATGTCTAATCACATCCCAAACTTGGCAGATACAGTAAGTTAGCACCTCTGCGTGACCTTCTTAAACAAGATGTACTATTTGAATGGGATGACGACCACAGGAGTTACGATCTAGTCTAACAAGCAGTTGCAAGAATCTCCCAATTGCATTTGCTAGTAAAATGCTAACGCCCACACAATCTAACTTCAGTAATATTCAACAAGAATGCCTTGGAGTAGTTCATGGGATTGAGAGATTTCACCACTATCTATTTGGGAGACCTTTGACATAATTACTGATCACAAACCTCTGGAAGTGATAGTTATGAAGCCATTGTGTGCTGCACTGCCCAGATTGCAGAGAATGCTAGTCAAGATAATGGGCGATGACTTCAAATTGAAATACCGACCTGGAAAGCAAATGATATTGTCAGATGTCCTATCAAGATTACCAAACTCTGAGAGAAACATATGAGAAACACCATCTTACTGCAACTACGTGAATTACACCGAGGAATCGAAAAGACAGGAAAGCTCACTCCTGAAAGTGTATACTGTACTGGCCAAAAAGTAAATGCAGACATGCTTGCCAAGAACAACAGCCCCAACAAGCAAAGGAACCAATGATGATGCACAAAAAGTCGTCAAAACCATGGATCAAGCTTGCTATTGTTTTCTTCGAGATTGGTAATAAGAACTTTCTCATACTTACCTACTACTACAGCAGGTATCCAGTTTTGAAACAAACTCGCCTCTACAACTGCAAGAGCAAGAGCTCAGTTTGGAAAATGTTTTTCAAATATTCTCTGACAACTGCCCCATTTCCAGCGGTGGTATGATGAATTCTGTGCAGAATGGGGCATCGATCATAACACCAGTAGCCCAGGAGACCCTCCATCAAATGGGTTTATTGAATGACAAAATTGCTACATAAAGCCTATCATAAAGAGATGCTTGAAAACTGGTGGAGACATAAATAAAGCATTACAGAATGTAAGAGCTACACCACTGGACACCGGTATACCAAGTCCAGGTGAACTAATGTTCAATCGACCAATCACAAAATACTGCCAAGTCACCAGCCAGCAAATAATGCACAGCAGGAGCATTATAGCGATAAACTGCGAAAAGCAACACAACTCCTGAAGAAATACAGTATGCAGATAAGCGCACTCATAAAATTTGACCACTAAATGAAGGAAGCAATGCACGTATTCTAGATAAGTCTACACAAGCCTGCAAAGGTAGTGAAAAAATGTACAGAACCACGCTCTTTCATTGTACAACTTGAGAATGGAAATCTTTTAAGACGCAATCGCAGACACCTGAGAAGATTGTGCCAGAAATTACACTGACATATACAAATTGACTTATTAATAGTCATACAAGCTTTTGAGTTTTTGAGACATTGTTTTGTGAACAGTTTGAGACATTGTTAAACGTTAAAGCATTGAACTCTGTTTTTGAACATTTTATTGTACATGTTGAAGCATGAAAGCATGTTTATTCTGAACATTGAACTCTGTTTTTGAACATTTGCAATATGTTTGAACTTCGTTCATTTGGACAATTAATAATAATAATAATAATTCTGGATTTATATAGCGCCTCACGATGACACAACCTCGAGGCGCTTAACAACAGAGAAGGAAAAAAAAATTATAATCACATATTTGGTATTAGTTTACTTTAATTCAGTTCAAATGATTGGTTTGATGATTATCAATAAATGTTATTATTTAATGTAATTAAAATGTTGAATTTTTGGAAAGTACTTTTATAAATCAGTTACCCAATATTTACCTAATGTTCAAATAATTAATGATATAATTATAAACCATTTACATAGTTAAATCTTAACTTAAGAAAGGAATGTAGTGATAATGGTAAACCATGTTATACTGCCCTCAATCTGACAAAAACTTGCGTTACACAACACGCATAAGACAGTTCCAGTGAACACGCCATTTTACTGTATAATGTTATATTTCAGTATGTTTTATTCAACCACTACAAACATACGTGGCAGCCAGAGCTGAATTGCATATGTATTAACAATTAAAATCGTCAAAACAAAAAGAACATCAAATGCCACAATTCAAGAATGAGTACAGAAAAAAGCGACTACAATCCTACAAAGAGGAACCAGGGCAGACAGTTGTACATGCAGTGCTGTTTTTTTATTACTGTAGACCTACCAATATTAGTTTCCCACATGAAAAAAAAAAAAATAATAATCATGCATCGTGCGGTGATTACAAAGGCCTAATGATATTTTGCACTAACATTAGACTGAAATTATATTCTTCATTTCAACATTAATTTTACTGATGTTGTGGTGTATTGTCGTTCATGAGACTAACTTCGCAGAAAAAATTAATAAATTTTCTCTATCTACTCAAATGTTTGTTTTATGTAGGTCAATTTTCACAAATCAAATTGCAGTTTATAGAAGCATTTAACAAGCTCACGGTCAAAAGAAATCAGATATAACGGACATGGCAAAGAGTGCTAACATTTTTTGGTTTCTGCACCCGACACTAGATGGTGATATATATCAATCAGACAGTGGGTGGTGGACAATCCTTTGTGGTTACTAAATTGTCTGGAATCCATTTTGTTAAAGTGACAGTGTAGCGATTGTATGGAAGCTAAGCATTTTATCCGTTTTCTTTTTTTATCTGATTGGTTAGACATTTGCCTCTTAATTTTTATCAATTTTTAGTTTGTTATCTTACTGTATGTTTAAATTTTGTATCTGTGTCAGGTGAGGAAAGATTGCAAATTGTTTTTTCAGGCTATTTGCCTATTCTCTTTCCTGGTTTGGTACATATCTTTTTACCTGGCTGACCAAGCCGTCGTACCGGGCTGTAAGAAGACTGTCTCTTATACACATCTAGATGTGTATAAGAGACAGGGGGCAGGTGGCCATTGGTTCCCCATTTTTTTCTACTGGGGGCCTACCCCCCCCCCCCACTTTTGTGACTGTTCCCGGCACCAGTGATAAAATTATTATTATTATTATTATTAGATTCAAAAATTATTGCAACTTTAAGGAAAATTTGAAATTTACAGAATAATTTAATGTAACAATATTAAAAATGTTTAAAATATTTAAAATACTCTTGTTAACTTTGTCAAAATAAGAGAACAGGACACATTTCAACATCAAAAATACAAAAGGGAAATGTAGAACAAAAAAACAATCAAAAAGGGAATAAATAAGGGAGACATACAAATGAGCAATTATACAGAGTACAAAACTGAATGAAGCCTACAGGGTATTTCTTTTTTTTTTTTTAGGGGGGGGGGGGGGTTGTTGGGGTAACTCAGGGAGGGAGACTTTAACACTTGGCAAATACCCCATGATTTAAAATGAAGTCAGGGAACCTCTTTGTTCTGACTTTAGGCAACTTGAACTCTCTAGGAGCTCTAAGGTTATAGTTGATATTTGTCTTATCAGGTAGCTTATGAAGTACATGCCCGGGTGTTTAACCTTGGTGATATATCCCCTGCAGTGTCCCTTCTTACAGTGAGAGGAATAACAGGGTCATCATCTAATGTACAAGGTTTCTTTAAGATATTCAGGCCCCACACTGGCACCGTGTGTTCTAATACAGGTCATGACTTGTACAATAACAATAACACATGGTTATCAACACCTGAACATTTTAATTGTCTATTAGACAATAAAAATAATTTAAAATTATCAATATAGAGTACCGCAGTCATGTCGTCACAACACCAGGTGGTGCTCTCTGTTGTCAACAGATGTAGATTACCGTTCATTATGCCTGAATGACTACATAAGCTTTCTGGAATAGGAATTTTAAAATCTAATACTTTACCATCAAAATGTACTAAAAACATAAAAGCTCGCATTATATTAGTATCGAACACACATTTAATCATCAAAGAAAAAGTAAGATACAACATCTTAATAATTATGTTAGAAATTGGGATTGATGGTTTGTTAGTGGCGAAAATGGCGTCGGGTTGAATACATTTTGCAACGATAGCAACGGAGTAGTATCACATGGTATCGTGACGTAACACTGTAGTACTCTATGAGGTTGCCATCATAAATTGCTGCTTAAAGTTAGACCGAGGAGTTTAGTTACAGGAACACAATCAATATTACTATCAATAGAGAGTGGCTCAAATTCTGTTTTAACTTTCTTAACAGCTTACCACATTGGCATTAAGCTTCATATGGTTATTATCAGACCAGTGTTAACATCATTTTGCAGATTGCTGATTTGATTTTTAGTTATACTTTCTACTACAGTGGTATCTTAATAAAGATAATTAATATAATAACACCCAACAATTAAGTACCTTGGGCCAAGCCTCCATCGGTACAAGCCAATCAGTATAGAGTATCACCCAACTTAACCCAGTTAAGCCTATTGCTAAGAAACGAACTAACCCAAGCAATAATGTATGGTTCTACACCAAGAGACTGGAGCTTAATGATAACAATATTGTGGTCAATTAGATCATAGAGAAATTTTCTCTATGATTAGATCATAGGCTTTTTAAAAGTCCACAAGTAATATATGCAATTCATTACATTTATTAGTAGCATCATAGCATTCAAATACAATTCTAATAAATGCATCAACTGTAGAAACACCCTTCATACCCCCAAATTGGTTAGAATCAATATTACATTTTACATGGTTCCATAAGTGTTCCCCAATTAGGCTTTCAGAAATTTTGGCAGGGGTTGGGTGAGTGAGATTGGTCTAAGATCACATTCAATATTTCTAGGTGGGTTGACTTTAGGAATTAGGACTATGTTGGCACTTTTCCAAATCTGAGGCACAAAACCTTTACGTAGACTTGAATTGATGATGGTACACAAGGGTTTAGATACTGTAGTGTCGGAGCATGCTCTTTCAATATCCAATTTGGAATGCTATCAAGGCCAGGTGCTTTACCACAAGAAATGCTATGTAGTTAAGTTCAAATACATCAGGATTATTAATGAAGTAATCAGGGCAACACTGCAGTCTGGTGGGAAAATTGGGGTGATTGGAACATATTCTTTATGAAGGGAATGGAAGAATGTGTTGCAGCTATCTGCAATTGCTTATTGCCATTAAAAAGTGAATTAGCTAAGTTGTATTTAATCCATTTTCAATGAATGATCGTTATAATGCTGATATCTGATCTTAATTTTTTACTGATAAATTTAATATATCAAGTTACTTTCAACCAAGTGAATTTAGCAAATTTGATAAACTGGAAAGCTTTTCTAGCATACATTTCAACTCCAGAAATCTACATTGTAAATTTTACTCTATTACCATTCTGTTAAATTCCTTAAATTTCGAATTTGATTTTATTTCTATTTCTGAAAGTTGGCAAGATAGCGCATTATTACATATTCTTAATTATTCCCTTATTGCAAAACACAGGCAGGTGACCTTTCTTTTGAATCAGAGAAGACCTGAGACTATTGACAAATCAATCTGTGATTCCCTATTTATCGAAATTGAACAAAAATCATCAAAAAATATTGTTTGTGGAACCATATACAGGGCCCTGTCTTTAAAACCTAACTTGTTTTTTGATAACATTAATTTTGTTCTCAGTAACCTCTCCTAAGAGAACAAAAACGTTTTTTTACTAGGTGAATTTGATACAGATATTTTAAAATATGAATCAAATAACCAAGCTTTCAACTTCAGAAATTCATATTTAGCAACTTTGATTTTCCCCTTATTCATCGCAATACTGGAATTACTTCAACTACTGCTTCCCTTTTGGACAATATTATTACCAATCAATCAGAATTTCCAAACCACAATGGAATAATTTATAGTGATATCTGAGTACCACCTGCCGATTTTTAATATTTCTTATCTGGCAAACATTGTCCTTGACTCCATACCTGAACACCCATTAATGTATCTGGTCAATATATGACCAAACTATTGAACACTTCAAACATGAATTACAAGCAGCCAACTGGGATAATATTTTTAATTTGCAAGACCTCAACGAGGCTTACAATTTATTTGATTCTACTATTAAACATATATATGGCAATAATTTCCCTCTTGTAGAAACTGATCATTTTAAACACACCTTTTCTCTAGACAAAAATGATATCAAAGGAACTTGGAAAATCTTTAATTTTTTAATTAATATTTTCCGAAATACCCAACCCGACATATTTTGATGATTTCCAATGAAATTACTATTTTATTTTTGGCAAATTAGCGCACCTGCCGCCACAAAAAAATGGAAATTTCAGAAAAAAAATAAAAGTTTTTCTTTATTTTTATTATGCTGGCTTGAAATTTCCAAAGATAGCATATTTTTATTTCTTCCTAATTATATAAATTTGAAGCATTTAACCATCCCAATTTACATTAAAAAATAAAATTTTATTTTTATTTTTTCCTCCGTCTGGGTGTTTTTGGCAAAATTATCTGCTAAATAAGAAAACAAAATTATATTTTAATTTTTATTCCGCCCTCTTCCAATGATCTTTTAAAAAATAAGTACGGGAAAAAGGAAATAAAAAAAGCCTCGTCTCACTTTCACATTGATAATTAAGACATTTCTCATTCATTTTACAATTTTTAAGAAACTTATATACAGTAACATAAACTGTAAATAAAATTACCCATACATATTTACACATCCAAATTGATGATATTACATAGGATAAGATCTGACATTAAAACAACTTTTTTAATCATATGTTTTGTCTTGGTCCAAATGAATCTCTCAACTTCTGTCCAAATAGATTTACTACAAGTAATAATACCCATTTTCATTAATAGAGTTATTGTAAGGTAATAGTTATTAAGCATTTTCCAAATTGTAAAAAACTTTTTTTGATCTTGTTTTTGTTTAACTTTGACTTATATTTTTAATGTGAAGCAGAAAGGGGCTTTATGCATTATGCTCTATATAAAAATAAATTTAATATTTTTATTTATTTATAATTTTTTTCTTTTAGTTAATCCAGCTGTCAATTAAGACATTTTTGTAATATTATAGAAACATTTAATAAAAAAAAGTAGTTTATAATTGCTAAATTGATATTCAGTTTATGTTAAAATATAATTTACTAAAATGTTTTGTTTGTATTTGTTTAGGTGGCAAAACACAAGACAAGTGCTCAAGGGCCCGCACTTCTGGTGGTGGAGGAAGATCTCTACCAAATGATGGTTCTGTACAACCAAGCATGCAAAATAGATTCATCAGGAGAGACTTTCTTCAGCAATAATAGTGGGCAGGAAATCCGTCCTGGCCAAGAAATGAGCAGACTTTGGAAGTCCTTGGGAATTCGTGTTGGTAAAACGGTGAACCCGACACAGTTTAGGAAAAATGTGGCGGTTATGGTAAGATTTATTCCATTATCAGAGTATAATTATCCAGTATCATATCACCAATGCATAACTGTCGTACCAATAGCTTCCTAAGACATTATGCCGTAGAAGTGGTTGGCGCATCGGTTGTGGCTTGGACTCCCAACCTCGAGGTCGGGGGGTTCGAAACTCGCTGTGCAAATCGCTTGTGTCCTTGGGCAAGGCACTTTATCTACGGTTGCCTCTCTCCACCCAGGAGTACAAGTAGGTACCTGATAGGTTCCAACACAACCTGTGCTGATTACTAGCTGCAATATTATGGAATAATAATATAATTTAATTTAATAATTTAATTTGGTGTTCAATGTGTTCCATATGTGTTTGATCCAATGACCGGGGTAGTAATGTGAAGCGTTTAGAGGCTTTGTAAAGTCATGAAGCGCTATATAAGAACGACATATTATTATTATTTTTAAATTTAATTTTAAATATCTTTTTTTATCTAATTTCTCGATGGTAATACATTTTCTTAATGTGATGATGCTCTGTCATGACTTAGTTAACTGAAGTTAAATTATTTAGTTCAAAATTTTTTTTTAGTAATTTTTCTGACTAAAAAACATCTTGTACAAATTTTCTATTCAATAACCTCCATGGTTTTTACCTGAGACAACTATATACAGAGATTGGAAATGACCCAAGATTTATTTAGTTCTTCCTTCCTGGTGATAAATTGAGTGTTGCATGCTTTTGTTATGCAAATCCAGGCAACCGAACACTGTTGCAGGCAAGAGAATGCTCAGGCCCGTATCCGGGGGGGTTTTTATGGTTCAGGAGAACCCCCTTTTCTAGCAAACCCCTCTTTTCTGGCTAAACCCCTCATTAAATTTCCCAAATAAGTCCTCCAACCAAACTAAATGCACTGCAGACCAGACACAGACATTTTCAAACATATCTGCTTTTATAGCATTATTTAGACCCATAAAGCACAAAACTCCTCTTGTTTTGGGGGTTTCGCCGACCCCACCAGGGCTTCGACTGTGGAGACCTCACGCCCAGAAACCCCCCCCCTTGGAAGAACCTTGCTACGGGCCTGATGCTTACTGCTCATGCTCAGTTCATAATCACTGAACCATGTACATTAAAACAGTTACTGAGCTAATAGGCTTGCCCTGAAACCAGCAGTGCTTCTAAGAACTGTGCCAATATAATGTCCGACAGGGTCGAGGAGGGGGAAGATGGAGGGAGATGTGTTTTCCTACTGTAGGTTGTACTCAATATCTTCATTGAAATGATAAAAAAATTAAAAGAGAAAAAAATATCAATCTATCTTAGCCTACAGCAGGCCTAAGCAGCTAAGTCTGAGGTCCCATTGTATGCCCTACACGAATGTGTATACTGTACGAATACGTATATTGTACTCAAACACAACTTTGATGTATATTGATCATTCAGTAAAATAATCAGTCAGTATGTCTAATTTTAGAGCTGAAACAACGAAGAAAAACAAAATTGAACGTGACGAACACAGTAATAGTATACATAGTATATGGCACTGCTGTAGGTCTATGACAGTTACAATGAGAGCTGTACTTTTTTGGGGGAGGGGGTTGAAATACCACTGGCCAATTTTTAATTTCACTTGCATTAGTTTCGCACCCTGTAATAAAATCGATAGTCTCAGACCTAGTACTCAGAATTCAGTTGAGAGAAAGATGACAAAAGCACTAGTGTGAATAAATTGGTATCAGTTTGAATTGTTTGTGAATATGTTTACATGTGACATTAGTGATCTGCACTTGGTTGAAGCCTGTAATGATGGTTGCGTCTCATTTAATGCATGCTAAAAAACAAATCGGGTATATAATCAAGTTTGACAAACCAATCTTTTTAAATTTTGATACTGTTTCATATAAACTACTGTCCTTGCAGAAAAAAGTATGAACAGTAGTTGGTGGAAAGACACACCTATTACATCGACCGAACTATTGAAGGTCCATTTTAAATATATAAAAATATACTAATTAAAGATAATATTTAAACTATATCTTTGATTTGATTATTTTAGTTTTTTATAAGATATATTGTCTGCCCCAAAACAAATTAAAAACTTCAAGAAATTCAATTAAAATTAGTAGATATCATTAACTTCAAGCAGATGCAAATTATTTCTGTTCTTGCAAATATTGGATGATTTTATAATAAGCGCATGTTAACAGTAACAAAAAGATCGAATTCTTTATCAACTGTAATAGCGTATTTGTGGGAAAAAAACTTTTCCTATAAAACTGAATGAGTGTGATGTTGCTCATTGTCTTCATTTCTTCAAAACCAACGCTACCGAATACAGTACAATAGTTTTTCATTCATATCACAATCCATTCGCAATTGCTGATATGTCAGACATGATCAATTATTATAATGTTGATATTCAAGTTCATCATAGAGCCAAGCATTAACCAATAATCATCAGTGTCATTATTACCTGTAAAATCAAGAAAAATGTCTTTTTTAGGTACCTTCATAAACATAAATAAGAAATATTCAAGTACAATCCACTTTTATGAGCTTTAATATCATATTTTAAGCCCAACATATTCTGATAAAGAACATACTGTATTGTGAAGCAAAAATACTCAATATTATATTCAATCAGTATTTTATTTTCATATCAGTGTAAAATTATAGATTAGTTGTTATCAGTGAGAATATGAATACATTCAAAAATAACCTTGGCAAACATACAAAGAGGCATCATAGGAGTATAACTCACAGCCTCTTCAATTTTTACTATTAAGCATTTACAGAGGTAAGCATCTTAAACTATTTGAACAAAAAATACAGCAACCATCCTTAAAACCCTGCCAGGCTATCAAATTTTATTTTGACAAAAATTGTGAAATATCCTAAATAGTAAATATGTTCATGATGACATCACATCACGGACAAATTATAGGCCTGTCATGCCAAAATTGGTTCTGGGAAAAATTGTCCAGCGGACCAATTTTGGCCGCCTGACTTCTAAAATCGGTCCGATTTTGGTCGCCCGACTACTAAAATCGGTCTTCCGGGTTGATTTTAGCTGCTAATACCACTCCCACTTGGATAAAATTGGCCCGTGTCAGCCTGGCTACTTGTAACTCATCTGCTGCTTGTAGGGCATGATTGTTTCTCCCGTGGAGTGGAGGAAAGTAATGCTTCTCCCACACTTGCAAAGTCATTTGCAGTGACAGAATTATATAGTATTAAGCTTTTAAGGATGTGTTATCGAACTCACCTGATAATGCATTTCCCAGGCTAGGCAATACACTCAGCAGGCATAATTTTTGGCAGCTGTGGTTAGGCCTAGGTTTGCCTAAAATGAAACACAAGACTGATTTATTAGTTTTAAATATTCCGGATTATTGTGTGGGGTTGAATGCATGTACTTCGTCCCAGCGTTCAGCACACACAACCAAAATAAACAAAACAAGTTAAAAAAAAAGACTTCTCTTTGTACTTTTACACCCAAAAGTTTTACTGGGCACGAAGAATTTCACCATGATTTCACACATAACGAATGAAAACACATCATATAATGGGAGATAAGATATTTATATATCATTTGATTAAAAAAAAAGTTATAAAAATACAAGTTACTACTAAATAGACACCGGACCGATTTTTGCTTATGTGGACTACATTTGGCAGGTAATTTTAAAGCCAAAATCGGTCTGGCGGACCTATTTTGGCACGGGCCAAATTTTTCCTGACAGGCCTATAGTATAGGCACACCATAATCATCATCATAATCTGTTGTGTGCTGAAAAACCGTTGATTTAAAAATACATAATTTGCAATAGGAATGGGGTTATATTGCAATCTATATAAAGAGAAAAAAACTAAATTCATTTTTTGTTTTGTTACAGCACTAATTTTTCTAATTAGAAGTGTAGGCCTAGCCTGAAATATAGCCTAGGCTTTTTTATTCATATGCCTACAGCGAATCTGGAAACATACAATACAAAGTATGCTCCATACATCGTAGCTTAACTTGTTCGCAGTCTAAACGGTCCTGCGCCGTTAGGCCTATAAATGACTAGGCTGCACATAGGCCTAAACAAGGGCATAATTTAAGGCAGTATTTCATATTTATAATCAAGTAATCCATAAAGATGTTTAATGTCTCTACCACCAGGTTTAGTTAATCCTTTGGAATATCACATGCCAATGGCTAATGGTTCATAAACATTAGAGATAAGTGTTTAAATGTTGAAGTATGCAAATAATTATTACGGTCAGAAATGTGAAATATGTAAATTAAATTAAAAATACATATTGTCTTGATTCCAAAACATGATATACTTGTCTACACCAATAAATATCTCTTCTGTTGTCGTAAATAATTCTAGAACACACATGTGCTTATAAATATATATAGGGCAGTGCTTAAAGTTTAGTATGTTTCTTCAATTCAGGAATTTTATCGCGTGTCGGCACCTGGCTAGGCTAGCCCTGGACAGCTGAGGGTAGGGGTGGCTGAATTACCAGCCTATTGTAGCCTTTTAAACTGCAATATATGTGTTTATGTATCTAATACATTTCAAAGAAATTGCCAAAGTAAAAGTTAAAACATTAAAAAAAAAAAATAATATGTCCAAAAAAGCTATGAAAATATCCACTTGTCTTGTGTGCGGGAGATGCCCGCTTGCGGTTCGAACAACCTTATTTGCATATCAGTGAACTGCATAACCTCACAAACAAGAGAACAATAGAATCCAGTCACGTAGTTGTCTCAGGTTTTTACAGTAAATAAAGAAAAGTATTTATTATAATACTAATACTTGCTACCATCTCTTTTTTCAAATAAAATATTTAATGTCCATGAGACCAATAGTTTATTAATAGGTGCGACTTTTTCATACCTTGTTTAGCGAACCCTCCATCTTAATAGTGATTTTGAAGAAAAATAAAAATTTTTCCTCTTAGCCAAAAAAAAAAAAAATGGAAAATTAAAACAGTTATTTGCATGGCAGGCTGTGTATTATCCTGTGCGAATAACTTAAATACGGTTATTGGCACATCCGAAAGTGCAGACAAGTAGAAAACAGTTTTTTTCAATGATTATTCTTATTATTATTCTTGTACTCTTATTATGCATTAGTCAAGTTCTGAGGAAATTGTTAAACAGTGGTTCCCAAACTTTTTGGGTCGCAGACCCCTCTGGACATGTCAAAAGCCTTCATGGACTGCCATGTCAAAATATTACACATTGTCCATATCCCAACTAGATTGTAGATAGAAGATGTTTCGCCACGAAATAAAACATTAAACAGTGGCGATTCCTGGCACTTCTAGATGGCTGGAAATGGCATTGTCAGACTCAAAATTTGAATGAAATATTATTTCATTTACTTCTAATTTTATCAAATTTAGGGCTCCCTCCTAATTTTGTAATTTATTCAATATCCAAGTAAAAGCAATACAAGAGAAAACATGGAAAAAAGGTGTACATACCTGAGGATTGCCACTATCAATTGGCTCTTTTTATACTAAACATTATTACATAAAGAATACATAAAAAACTACATTTCAGATCACCAGTAAAATATTGGAATTAAAATATAATGCCAGTTAAAACAATTTACAATTAAATGAAGTCATGCCTGTCAAGGCATAATCACACTGTTGTAAGAGTGACAAGAAAAATAATGGAATCAAGCAAAAGTAGGCCTATTATATAAACTCCTCAGTTCACAACCTTAGAGGCCTCTCTATATTATGGTTCAGTTACAGTATTGCTGGTTAACTGCATATCCTTGCATACATATCGTTCTTTCTTCTTTCAATAACGTTCAAAATATCTTATTCATATAGGTCTACAATTACTTGTAAATTAAATCAGCTGAGTATTAACCCTTTTGATTTAGATTTCAATGTCCCATCCAGTTGTAGGTACCACCTTAGTGATAGTTTTAATGACTTGGTGCAAGACATTGACACAAACTTTAGTTTCATTCACTTTATAATGCTTGCAGCCTTACTAAAAATTTTACAGAAATATTTGATTATCTCCAGACTCTAAATTATAACTTTACCATCTTATGCTTCACTGAAACTTGGTTTAATGCCTATACTCCCTATACATTGTATAATATTCTTGGTTACAAACTCATTCATTATGATAGGCCAAACAAGAAAGGTGGTGGTATTGCACTTTATATAGCAGATAATATCAATTATAAGTATAGACCTGATCTCAGTAATATTATTAATGAAGTTTGTGAAACCCTCTGTATTGAAATTGAGGCAAAACCGATAAATATCATTTTATCAGTTATTTATAGACCACCAGAAAAGTGTGTTAAATCATTTCATGAATGTATTTCTTTATTGTTGAAAGAGGTCAACAAAGAAAAAAAGGCTTTTTATACATGTGGGGATATCAATATTGATCTCTTAAAATCCGACTCTCACAAACTAACATCTGATTTTCTTAGTACTTTATTTTCATCAAATTTGCTTCCCATTATAGGTAGACCCACTCGCATAACTAAATTGAACATATATATTGTAACTCACCTGTTCATAAATTCAAATCTGGTATACTCTACTGTGACATAACTGATCATTTACCGATATTTTGTATTTCTTGCAAAGATAAACCGTTTATATCAAGTAGATCTAAATATACATATAGCAGAATAATCAACGACACTACTGTTTATTCTTTATCATCTGAACTTATGGTTACTGACTGGTCTGAAATCCTTAATGCTTCAAACAATACTCCGCAAGAAAAGAACCAATATTCGTAAACAAAATAAACCATGGTTAACTAATGGGATTATTCATTCTATTAATACTAGAAATAGATTATATAAAAAGTATACGAAATCTGGTAAAGAGATCGATAAAAAAGGTACGCTAATTTCAGAAATAAACTAACTATTACTAACATAATCCGCTTATCTTCTAGAAATTACTTCAAAAAACAATTCAATATTCACAGAAATAATATTAAGGCAACTTGGCAAACAATTAATTCCGTGCTCGGCAGAAATACCAAATCTAAGTTTCCACATTAATTTATTAAAAATAATATGAAAATTACAGACCAGTCTAAAATTATTAATGAGTTTAATAAATACTTTTCAGAAATCGGCCATAAACTTTATCAACCAATTAATATGTCATACATTAATTATTCAGCATTTCTTAACTCACCTAATATTCATTCCTTATTTCTTACACCAGTGTCGGAGAAAGACATTATTGACATTACTGACTTATTCAAATCTAACAAAAGTCCAGGCGCCGATGATATTCATCTAGATATTATTAAAAAAGTTTCTTCATTTATATGTAAACCATTGTCACATTTTTAACATTTCATTTCAGTCTGGCAAGTTTCCAAATTCTCTAAAAATTGCAAAAATTATACCTATTTTTAAAAATAACCATCTCCACCAATTCACCAACTATAGACCTATTATCACTACTCCTTTGTTTTTCAAAAATTCTCGAAAAATTTATTTATAACAGATTATTAGCATTTTTTTCTAAGTATCAAATTTTACACACAAATCAATACGGATTCAGGAAAGCACATGGTACAGATCTTGCGGTGCTCCACATGTATGAAAAATTAACGTCTTTACTTGTAAAAAACATCACACAATCGGTATATTCTTGGATTTATCTAAGGCCTTTGACACCATAGATCATGATATTTTACTCTCAAAATTATCTAATTATGGTGTCAGAGGCCTTCCATTACAATTAATAAGAGATTATCTTACAGGTAGACAACAATTTACCTCTGTTAATTCATTTGATTCTAACTTATTCCCTATAACCTGTGGAGTACCACAGGGTTCTATTTTAGGTCCTCTGCTTTTTTTAATTTATGTTAATGATCTCCCAAATGTCTCAAAATTACTACATTTTATTTTGTTTGCAGATGATACCAATATATTCTATTCCAATGAAAATAACCATACACTTGTAACCACAATTAATAACGAACTTAAAAATGTATCTTTATGGTTCAAACTCAATAAATTATCTCTTAATATATCCAAAACTAATTTTATTTATTTCAATCATAGTAAGAAATGCAACAAAAAATTGCCAAATGATAGCCTTATTGATGGCCATCCAATTAAAAGAGTTTCCAGCGCAAAATTTCTGGGAGTCATAATTGACTGTGAACTCAGTTGGAAATGTCATATTGCCAATGTCACAAATATAGTTTCTAGAAACGTTGGAGTTTTATCTAAATTAAAATATACGCTTCCCTCCAATATCTTATTTTCGTTATATAATACACTTATTTTACCTTATATTAACTATTGCAACATTGCCTGGGCTACAACCACTGGTAAATTTTCACAATTGTGCCCCTGGGCAAGCTCTGAAACAACTAAAATTCATTGTTTATTTTGATTACAAAAGAAAGTGCTCAGAATATGCACAGGGGCACCCTCCAGGTCTCATTCTAAACATTTATTTTATTCTTTTAATACTTTGAATATCCTCGATTTTAACAAGCTTCAAACAGCCTCGATTAAATAACAATCAACTCCCCTCTCATTTTCATACATTTTTCACTAACTTCTGCCAATACAGTACCATTCATATGATACCAGGTCTTCAACCGTCAAAAATTTTATTTATGAAAGCCACACTACTTTATTAAGGAGGACATCTTTTATTTATAATGGGCCATACATATGGAATAATTTACCTTTTAAACTTAAATTAACACACACCTTAAAATCTCTTAAAAGAATTCCTAATAGATAAGTATGCATCTTAGTTATTCATTTTCCTCTGTTAAATTAAATAGTGGAAAAATATTAATAATACAATCCTCTTCATCTCATCTCATTTTATTTTTTTCTTTTCTTCCTGATTATTACTCAATTTTTACTTGTTACACCCAGAAACATTTTTCTACCTTTATTATCTATTTTTATTTTGTTTATTTTTTCCTGTTTGTTTCCTAATTACTTTTTTTATCACTAGCCATTTACTAATTCAGTATATGTTTATTTGGAGGATTAGATTTAAAGCCTTCCTGGCTTATTGTTTCCTGCACACACAATGAATATTCACTGTATCTATTAAACAGTATTTAAATTTATATTGTTATCCATACTATGAAATTCTATTTTGATCATATTATTGTTATCTTAAGTTAATGAATCAAAAACATTGAATTATTATAATAAGTTCTTATATGTTGTTCATTTATTATGTTCATTGTGTGAAACAATAAAACTGAAACTGAAACTGAAGAAGGTGAGATTTTTAGCCAAATCTCATGAAAATTTAAAATTGCTCTAACTCATCAGAAAATGCTGGTGCGGAGCCAAAACTTCACTGTGGGGTTATCTCAGGTAGAACCCCCAACATGCAAAATATTGGGCGATTTGAAGGGGGTCGGGCAAAAAAGTGTGTTGAATTCATATAGAATGACTCAAATACAAGATAGTAATAATTACTAAGTACTTGTCTAGGAATAAGCCTAAACCTGAATTACAATGGCCTGTCACCCAAACGTGGATGGAGGGATGCACCTGTAACATCATCACTAATCTAGTGGAGAGTGTCTATGTAACGAACATGCACTAGATTTGTAATTTTTAAAATGGGATGTTATGTGATCGAGTATGCTAAATCAGTTCTCAAATTATATGAAATTGGTAAAATTCAGAGATAGCAAACCATTCAACATGAATTGGTTAACAATTGTTTTTTAATGAATGACGTTTTGTAATGCATCTTATATTTCAGTCATGGAAATACAACAACACGGATTCGGACCGTATAAGGGTAGCCGATTATATGCGCCACAACGTCAAAACCCAAAGGCTTTATTACGACGCCCAACAAAGGCACCGTGATGCTGTTGCGGCCAAGACTTTAATTACCAAACTAAAAAAGAAACAAGTATTTACATAAAATTATTATAAAAATTAAATTTTACTTTTGCTTAAACGATTTATCTCACTAATGCTTTATGTGCTCATGAAGTTCAAGATAGCATGATAATTATGTTAATATATTATTTCTCTATACTATTTAGACAAACCACCTTTTATGTTTAATATATTTTAATTTTTTGTGACCTTTCTTGTAATATAATCCACATAATTATTAGTGGAAAGAGGTGAAGTGTTTTCAATAATAAACCATCTTTTGTTTTATAATAATTTGGATTTTTTTCAACATTTCAGTCCAATCAAGACTCAAATGCACAGCAGTTGGATGTAAGTTATTTTTCACTGTTTAACTGAAGCAGACAGCCTAAATAATATGTGACCAAAGCTCACAAACGGGCTGTAAACTCATCCTCAGGCCAAAATGAGTTTTTGTTATAATGGCATAGAACATATCATTTACTTTAAAATGACAGTTAAATGAACTCAATCAGGTGAATGGAAGCAAGGTTATGACCGTTTGAATAATTGTCATCTTATCAACTTTCTTAAATCACGTTTTGAGAAAAATGCTTTTATTTTCGGCAGGTTTCTATTCATTTTTTACTAGCTCCCATCCGAAAATGGCTAAATTTTACCTCTTACATTTGGAATTTTAAACTCAAACTTCAGGAATAGTAAGATTAAAAGTTATACTTTATTTATCACACAAAATTCACGTTCTACGCCCTATTCTGTCTATGGAGGCTTGTTTCTCAATACAGTGCAGTGCGAGTTTACAGCCCTTTTGTGAGCTTAGGTCATATATTATTTGATAACCGTAATAGATGGATGTTGAATACAGTATAATTGTGATTGTTGAGTTAAGCTTTTGTGAATTTTGCACAATTTTTTAACTACTTTGTTATAATGTACGTTGTGATTTTCCTTGTCGAAAACATTTTTAATCTTGAGTGTATTTCTTAAGTATTGTATTGCACAGACTCTAAGAACTAATACCTTCCAGGCTACAGTATGTGTTTCCACATTTAATTATTTTTTTTCAGAATGTTGGGGTAACAGTTGAGGCAGCACAGCAAATGTCTAAAGTAAGTTGTCTACTTTTTAGGATGAGTATTTTAGTGGCAGATTCAAGGTAGCATGATAATTATGCATATATGTTATTTCTCTATACTATAGACAAACCACCTTTTATGTTTAATATATTTTCATTGTTTCTGACCTTTCTTGTAATATAATCCACATAATTATCAGATCTGGGAAAGAGGTGAAGTGTTTTCAACAATAAACCATCTTTTGTTTTATAATAATTTGGATTTTTTCAACATTTCAGTCCAATCAAGACTCAAATGCACAGCAGTTGGATGTAAGTTATTTTTCACTGTTTAACTGAAGCAGATAGCCTAAATAATATTTGATAACCGTAATAGAAGGTTGCTGAATACAGTATAATTGTGATTGTTGAGTTAAGCTTTTGTGAATTTTACACAATTTTTTGTTTTAATGCAAGTAGTGATTTTCCTTGTTGAAAACATTTTTAATCTTGAGTGTATTTCTTAAGTACTGTATTGCACAGACTTTGAAAACTGATACCTTTCAGGCTACAGTATGTGTATCCACATGTAATATTTTTTTTTCAGAATGTTGGGGTAACAGTTGAGGCAGCACAGCAAATATCTAAAGTAAGTTGTCTACTTGTTATTGCTGAACCTGTACTCAAACTTATACCTAATACTCTCTAAATTAGTCACCATCGAAGCCCTGTAATATGGTATTGGCTTCATGATGAAATAAATATTTTGCTGAATTTAATTTAATTCTCCACTTTAAGTGCTGGGGTGGTAATATTTTAGGGGTGTATACAGTATATATAGTGGTCTTCGGAAGCATTATAGAATGAAGTGGTAGACTATAGGTACAGGTTGGCTGCATGAATTGTCACCCTCAGTCTTTCATCCCTAGAGGAAATAAATTGTACTAGAGGGTGCACTCACTTACCGTCCGTGATTGTGGTAAAACGTTTATGCAATGCATTTTTAAACTTTAAATTGCTAACATTAATGTGTTTAAACTTCATATTTCATACTAACAATACAGTGATCCAAACCTTGTTGTAATTTATACCTTGCTCATCACCGTTTTGATGTTTAAGAATACTTTAGACATAGAAATATATTTTTATTCAGGAAAATTACTTTTCTTGACAGGACAAGCAAGATCAAGAAATATAGATAATATAGAGTAAAAATTTAAAATGGAACCCACTTGCAGAATACATCAAGAAATATACAGTATATTAAAATGATGAAAACTGTACAAACTCACCTAAATTCTGGGTTTAACAATGACCAATTTATATTTATTTATTATTATTGACATTATTATAATATATTATTCATAAATATTCAATCATCAAAATTCAATACCGATACATTAAAAAATGCTATTTAAAAATTGAATTAAAAAATGTGAATGGCATTCGGAACAAAAGAAAATGTGAATTGTGAACTATTTGATCTTGGTGGTCTAAGCGGGCCCAAGTTATTCTTAGTTAATTAATTGTGTAATGGATGAGAACCACTTTCTATAGATCTTTATTTAATTTCCTCAGTGTTTGTTTTTCGTAAATGCCATTCACATCATTAACCGGTGAACCAATAATTCTAGAGACTGTTTTTTTTGTTTTAAAATCCCACACTGTTTTCTTTGTCTTTTTCAAATTAATCTTCAGATAGTTATTCAAATTCAAATAAACATTTATTTCTTCCATGAAAAGATGGTACATGCAGAAGATAAAAAAGTTATACGAAAGTTTGTAGTGATATACTAGTAATCTTATTTATCTTAAATAAAAATAATTGATGCTAAACCATTTAAAATTGTAAAGCCGTATAACTTAATTTTAATGCAAGGGAGAACAGAACTTGTTTGAAACATACAGGAAGGTTTTTTTTTTTTTGAATTTTTTTTTTTTTTTTTTTTGTAAATTGTTCCATAAATTAGGCCCAGAGAATCTAATACTGTGCTGGAATATATTTGTATAATATATTATATTTTGTAATAAATAATTAAAAGTTCTGTCATAAATAATTTTTTCTAAGGCTTTCAAAAAATAGATAATATTGAGATGGGTTGATATTATTTGATAGTTCAGATTTAGAACCAGATTTAAAAATGGGTGTTACGCGGGCAAGTTTTATTCTGTTGGGGAATATACCTTTAGTCAAAAAAAGATTAAAATATATGGGAAGGAAAAGAAATGAGACACTTTCAATAACTTTTGAATTAAAATCATCAATACCAGGAGATTTATTTGCTTTAAATGAGGAAATCATTTTAACTGCACCACTAGGTGATCAAATTCAGTGTTGTATACATGTTCAATATTATTTCTTAAACCAATCAAGGCCAAATTGACATTTGCTACTTTTGGCAAGACCGTCACTTGTGTAATTAGTGAAAAGGTAAAGGATATGAAGGATCACATGAATTCCAAAGCATACAAAGCGCAGAGAAAACTACAACAATCATAGTGCCTTTCCTTGACATATTTTTCTCGCATTAACAGTGGTTGGTTGTTTTCACAACCATAAAATTAGCTTTTCCTATACTTTCACACTGATCACATTGTAAGTTCTCCATATAACCCACTACAGTATATGTCACAAGTATGTCTATGTTAAACCTGCCACACTAAAGAGTGAACTATTACAAATTCAAAGGGGGATGATAATGACTAAACTATTCTTTATTTAACCCATTGATTTAGAATAATTTTGATTCTTGGTTCTTCTAATAACATTAAGCCTTTTCCTAACATTTCGTGTCAACACTCAAGAAACATTGTTGCAGCCTGAAATTGTAGTAACTATTATTTTAACAATTTTGATATAGTGGACTACAATTTATGAGAAATTTAGTAATTAGAAACAATTTTTAGGTTGAAGTTTGGAGATAACATAGATAGTGTTAACAACCACCATTGTATATTTTACAATAGGAACACTATTTTAGAACCAGGTATGCATTTACAAACATGGACATTGCCCTGCTCCGAGTCATATTTAAGTCTGTGCTTAAGGGAAGAGTCACAAAAGCAAAGGTTAGTTGAGACTATTCATATCTATTGAAACACACATAATTATACAATTACTATACCGTATTCGCGCAAATAAGCACCCGGGCACTTAAAATATTTTTTGCACTTTCTCAGGGGCGTTTATTCAAACGGGGCACTTATGAAAACAGAGTGGAAATTGAGGGGGCGCTTATGGAAATAGATTAAAATTGAGGGGATCTTATGGGAAATTATTAAATTTAATAGGCACATTTTGAATGAAAAAAAGATTATTTAAGGACATTACGAATGGTGCTTAGGCGGAAAAGACAGCCTAATCATCCAGAGAACATGGCTCATGACAAGAATGCGTGAATATCATAATAGCAAAATAGCAGATGAAATTGGTGGTGGTGGGTAGTGGTTAGCTTGTTGGCCATCGGCCGATTGAGATTAGCAGGATGGCAGGATCATTGTATTTTTTTATTGAAAACTTAGATGAGAATGTGCTGAAGGTCGGAAAAAGAAAAAGATGAGTAGGACTAGGCATAGACATATGTAAAAAGAGTAAAGTTAGAAATATACTGTCTGTCCAGGGTTCGGAGCTCCCATCAGTTCAAGGCAAATATCCTCATTTTGATATTGACCTAAGAAGAATGTGTTTCCACTCTGCAGCTCAAATCATGCCAACAACCACAGTCCCAGGATTGATTGGATTTTTGACTTGCTAAAAAGAAAATCTTATGAAATTATTAGAAGTGGGCGCTTATTCAAACGGGGCGCTTAAGGAAATTTTTACGTTAGGAGGGGCGGCTATTCGAGAGGGGCGCTTATTCAAACGGGGCGCTTATTCGCGCGAGTACGGTACTTGTATTTTAAGTTTGGGGATTAAACACTTATTTTGAGTTGTAACTAAAACTAATTTTACATGAATAATCATGGTTTGGAAAATCTTAATATTTATTATATTTATCATCACTATCGTAGTAGAGGAATTGGATAGAACACTACAACACTTTAACTCTTGGGTAATTCCATGTAAAACAGGACATGAACATAAACATTTCAAAAAAATAAATTATATATGATTATTATATAGTACATGAGTTTCTGAAAATATATTGTGCTTGAAAGTAGACAGCCATTTTGTTTTTCAAAATGGCTGCAGAATTTGCATAATTCCTGCAAATTTAGACTTTATATATTATATACAAATTACTTTCACTTCTTTCAAGTTCACACACTTGGATTTAATTATTTATGGTATTGAATTATTAGTTGGGACGTACTCTGCTGATATCTGCTGATTTACATAGCTACATTAAGCTCCTCCTATTGTCTAATGTAGAAAATTGCATTATTGTAATTTATCCTCCAATGAAACGTCGGTTACCAAAAACCTCTACTTTTCTTCAAAATTTCTTGCCATACAATGATAGGCTGATAGTATTTCATAATTTATCTCTCCTAACTATGCCGCAAATAAAGTACAATAAAGTCCTGAAAATGTATATTGAAAGTGCGTAACATCAGTTGCCGTAGTGTTATAAGCCTATAGTATATTATATATAGACACTACTTATAACAAATATATAAACTTATTTTCAACTTTATCAGTGGCGGACCATCAAGGCAAGCAAGGTATGCAGTGCATACCCTGGCTAAAACAAATCAAAAATATAGTAGTACAGTTTCTCCATTTTATTTACCATTTCTTAGTCAGAATCTTATATAAACCTTAACTTTATCGAGTTTATTGCTACAGTTCATTGGAATACCGAAGTTTTTCAATGTTTGGTCTACTTTGGTATTTAGGACAAGTTATATTCTGGCCTATCGCACCATACTCTCAGCTGCTTATTTCCGCATGGCTGGTTTTCAATATCAGCCAATCACGTATTCACTGAGTCAATGGGAGTCAGAGCATAACCTACAATGCTTAAATTTTGAATTATTATTATTTGAATTGAAATTTGTTAAAATACAGGAATAGGAATTCTTTTGAAGAGAAAATACTACAACCATGCTGGTATTAAAAATAACATACATTTGTATTTTGACTATAGGACACAATCTGATTCTGTATATTAGTATTAGGCTTACAAACTTTTCCTACTAGCAGGCCCTAGCATCAGTGGTGTAGGGGTCTTGAACTGATGGGAAGGTGGGGGATCAGTGATTAAGTGAGGGGTTAACTCGCAAAATTATGTGATTTAAGGTGACTTTAATAACTACAGTACTTGAGCATGATTTGTTGGCAGGAGTGGAGGTGCGCGACTGAGGGATGGGCGATTATTTTTTTCAGTGGGAGGGGGCGTCCCCTCTTATATAAATGTCTAAACCAGATTACATTCTTTTTTCAGGTTAAGGCACTCTACGATATAAATGAAGACATTCAACACATGACACTAAAGTCTGTCTATGATAAAGTTAGAAACTTAAAGGTAAATTAGTTTTTAATTAGAAAAAATAACATTTCATTTTAATGATTTTTCGCTAGTTTTACTTTTCATTTTGTGTACTTGAGTATTTCAAGAAATTTTGACTGAAAACTACAGTTCAAGTTGCATTCATTATTATTAAATTCATCATGCGACATGTTGTCTTGAACAACCAATGGTTGAAATTCATTTTTATTTTAACCAAAATTTCTACTTTGTAAATACAGAGTGTGTGCCACAATGACATCATATCACTGACAAAATTGTTTGCATTATCATATTATATGATATAAATATTATCATATTTAAAGATATTGTAATAACAATAATAACTATTGAAAAATTAGAAGAATCATACGTACCAATAAAAAACATGTCGCCGTCCTTGATGCCAACTAGTAACCATGTCAGCAGCAATTGGTATCTGGAAGTACTTGGGAATAGTCACAGAATAAGAGATAGAGATATTTTGAATATTTATTTTTTAATTTAAATATTAATTGAGTATTGAAATGAATAGTGATGGAAATAATTGATTTGGTTGTAATCGCCCTGTGCCTTCAGGGCCACCATACACTTTTTTTTTGTACACTAATAGTGTTGATTGTGTCAATTCTATTTTATTTCAGAAATGAACACGTTTCAAGCTTATTAATGGTTGTACTTTGTGTGGTCGGATTATTTTGTGTTTTTGATTTAAAGTCAAGTAGACTTCTGTAGGGTTTGATGAATAGAAGGTTCCACCTATTTAGGTATGTTAATTAGGTGCCAAAAAACACAAAAATAAATGTTGGCAATTTATTTTGTTGGAATGGCAGCAGATGTCTGTCATCTATAATTTTAAAATGGCGACTACCTTGACAACTGCATATCACAGAAACTTGATTTTGGTCTCCAATTGTTTGTAATACTGTATATAAGTTTATATTCGCTCTAATGAAAAAGCTTACTGGAAAATGGCAGGAGATGTCATTTCTGACCTTTGACCTTATGTTAATGAAATTTCTATATCTTCATAACTACTCATAGAGTACTATTACATAGATACTTGATTTTGGTCTCAAATTGCTCAGAATATATAAGTTTATATTCGCTTTGATAAAAACTTTCCTTGGAAAATGATCGGAATGAAATGTCTACTAAACATAGAGACTTGATTTTGGGCTGAAATTGTTTGGAATATATAAGTTTATATTTGCTCTAATAAAAACCCTCTTCGGAAAATTAGCGGAAATGGCATTCTGACCTTTGACATTATGTTAATAGCATTTATACTTGATTTTGATTTGAAATTGTTTAGAATACTGTTTTTTGTCCAAATAAAACATTTCACAAGCTGCAAATGAAGTGCCATTTCTGACCTTTGATCTAAACATTGCTAAAATGAACAATACTCCAAAATCTCCGGGGCTGAACTTTTGAACGGACTACGAACACATTTAAATGCAAGAAACTATGTCAACTTTTTATAATTCCTGATTATGACACAATAATGTTGAAATATTAAATCCAAACACGATGGCATGCATTTCAATACTTGGAGTATTATGTCAACTTGGGGTTTTTAAAAATCCTATAAGGAAAATTATTTTAAAAATTGTTTTCTTAAATCATTTTTGTACATTTACTTTTCATTTTGTGTACTTGAGTATTTCAAGAAATTTTGACTGAAAACTACAGTTCAAGTTGCATTCATTATTATTAAATTCATCATGCGACATGTTGTCTTGAACAACCAATGGTTGAAATTCATTTTTATTTTAACCAAAATTTCTACTTTGTAAATACAGAGTGTGTGCCACAATGACATCATATCACTGACAAAATTGTTTGCATTATCATATTATATGATATAAATATTATCATATTTAAAGATATTGTAATAACAATAATAACTATTGAAAAATTAGAAGAATCATACGTACCAATAAAAAACATGTCGCCGTCCTTGATGCCAACTAGTAACCATGTCAGCAGCAATTGGTATCTGGAAGTACTTGGGAATAGTCACAGAATAAGAGATAGAGATATTTTGAATATTTATTTTTTAATTTAAATATTAATTGAGTATTGAAATGAATAGTGTGGGAAATAATTGATTTGGTTGTAATTGCCCTGTGCCTTCAGGGCCACCATACACTTTTTTTTTGTACACTAATAGTGTTGATTGTGTCAATTCTATTTTATTTCAGAAATGAACACGTTTCAAGCTTATTAATGGTTGTACTTTGTGTGGTCGGATTATTTTGTGTTTTTGATTTAAAGTCGAGTAGACTTCTATAGGGTTTGATGAATAGAAGGTTCTACCTTAGGTATGTTAATTAGGTGCCAAAAAACACAAAAATAAATGTTGGCAATTTATTTTGTTGGAATGGCAGCAGATGTCTGTCATCTATAATTTTAAAATGGCGACTACCTTGACAACTGCATATCACAGAAACTTGATTTTGGTCTCCAATTGTTTGTAATACTGTATATAAGTTTATATTCGCTCTAATGAAAAAGCTTACTGGAAAATGGCAGGAGATGTCATTTCTGACCTTTGACCTTATGTTAATGAAATTTCTATATCTTCATAACTACTCATAGAGTACTATTACATAGATACTTGATTTTGGTCTCAAATTGCTCAGAATATATAAGTTTATATTCGCTTTGATAAAAACTTTCCTTGGAAAATGATCGGAATGAAATGTCTACTAAACATAGAGACTTGATTTTGTTTAGTAGACATGAAATTGTTTGGAATATATAAGTTTATATTTGCTCTAATAAAAACCCTCTTCGGAAAATTAGCGGAAATGGCATTCTGACCTTTGACATTATGTTAATAGCATTTATACTTGATTTTGATCTCAAATTGTTTAGAATACTGTTTTTTTGTCAAAATAAAACATTCCACAAGCTGCAAATGAAGTGCCATTTCCGACCTTTGATCTAAACATTGCTAAAATGAACAATACTTCAAAATCTCCGGGGCTGAACTTTTGAACGGACTACGAACACATTTAAATGCAAGAAATTATGTCAAATTTTTATAATTCCTGATTATGACACAATAATGTTGAAATATTGAATCCAAACACGATGGCATGCATTTCAATACTTGGAGTATTATGTCAACTTTAGGTTTTTAAAAGTCCTATAAGGAAAATTATTTTTAAAATTTTTATCTTAAATCATTTTTGTACATTACCTTTGAAATAATTTTTCTACTGCTAACTCATTTTTAGATATTTTTTTAAAAATACATTTTAAAAATTTAATCTTGACCTATAACATCTTAAAGGAAATTTATACCTTTAAATGTTTAACAGGCACAGTCCCTGAGTACTTAAATAATTTTTATGAGCAAATGGACAATTTATCACAGTCTAAACACAAGAAGCAAATCGAAAAATACATTAGTTTTACCTAAATGGAACAATGAATTTGGGGAAAAAACATTCAAATAACGCTTGGTTAAACTGTGGAACCATCTTCCACCTGATATTCGCAGTTCAATAAATTCCTTAACTTTGCATTCCTTCAAAAATTTGATTTAATATTACTTCTTCTGTATACCAAATTTTGCTTGTGTTTACCAAATTTTCTTTTGTTTTTGTATATATAATTTCTTAACTTCATTTCTTATTTTAATGTTTTAACTATTAACTGGACCTTAAGGAAGAACAATGTAAAAGTTGATTAAGTATCCAGAATAAAGAAAGATTTCTATCTATCTAATTGTTTTTATACTTGATTCATTATTGTGCACTGTATTATTGCCTAAAATTTTATTTGGTTGTTTTTATATTGTCATAACCTTTTTATAGTTGTGTCCAGGACTGTGGTTTAAATATTTAATGTTATTATCTCTTTTTAGTTGTAAGCTTCCTTCACTGAATGTGATTTTATCCTGATTAAATAAATTGCAAAAAAGATTTTCCATGTTTCCATAATTCATAGAAACTAAGTCTTGTATTTGGTCTCATATCGAACATTTTCAAATAATCAAAAAGTAACCCCATCTACCTAGTTTCATGCCTACACAACTATTTGTAATATAAACATAGTCTAGGTCTCAAATTGTACCACATCATCTGACAAGGAATGTTAATGAATTATGATTGTGAGAACATATTTCTAATAACATTAGTCTTTTTCCAGTACTGTGTGTGATGTCGGCAACCAAAAGTTAATTCTAACGTTATTAGACAACAGCAGCAACAACAACATACACCAACAACGACAATAAACAACAGTAGTGATGTTGCCTAGAAACTATTTATTTTCAATTCAAATGGTGTTTTTATATCTATTACTGGGGAAGATGGAGAAGGAGGGGGTGCAGATGGTGCGATTGTACCCCCTAAACTGTATTAAGAAAAATAATTGTATTATATTGTTGACATGAATTTATATTAGTAACATTTTTAGGCACCCAGAGGTCCACACCTCAGCCCCAACCGTGTTGGTACTGAGGTGGTATGGACTCTCATGCACTTATGGGCGTAGATCATGGGGGAAGGGACACGTTCCTCCACATATTTTTTTGGGGGGGGCGGTCCCCCTCACTCAAGAATATATGCCTAAAAATTGTTGAAATGAACTGCATAAATGACCCAGGTTTTTAACGAAAGAGTGCTATACAGCCAGGGTACATCTTATTTTATAGCACATACCAGTGTCCCTGCCCACAAATATTTGAACTATAGTACACAACTCGAGTACGCGTGTCTTTATTATAATTTTAGAAGTTTTCGGCATGTGGAGTAGGTAAAGTAAAGTAAATACATCAAAAATAATTAACTTTTATTTTCTATGGTACATCACAGCGATTAATTAGATCAATGAATTTTTATATATCAGAGTGTCATATCTAAATGCTAATAAACAGCATTATGTATGGTGCGAGAATAGGGTCATAACTGCTTACAGCTTTACTTGCATTGACACTGCAGCTAAGTTTTATTGTCTTGTGGCCTATTGATTATATATATGTGGTGTTGGATACCGGCCCAATTGCTGCTAATAGTAATCGGTTTCATTTGAACTTATAACATTGTTGTCACATAGAAAAGAGGAATGCAGTAACCAAAATTGTGTTCAATATATTTATGATGACAGTAAAAATAGGACTCTGATAATGTTATTATTACATTAGCTACATACAGTAGGCCTAATATTCAGACTCAAATATAAAAATACATGTTACATCTAATACTTTATTTCATCGCATAGGCCTTATAAGTCGAATATTGTTAATGTCTTATCTGGTGTTAAAACAAGTGACTTTGCATGCTAGAATGATTTAAATGTTTTAATCGTTTTGACATACTTAGCTATGAGTGAGGGCACACAGAAAAAATTATTAGATTATCACTCTTTTTAAAAAAAATGATGAGAGATGAGGACTGTTTATATTTGGCCTGTAATAGTAAATATTGTATAAAAACTTGTTTAATTTTATAGTTTTTTTAAAGAAAATGTATTTGAATTGTTATTTTTATGCTGTTAAAATAATTGATGAGGCAAAAATTTTTTTTTTATTCCCACATCAATATTTCCTCAATCCCCGATAATCTAATTTTTCTATTTACCCTTATGAATGTTATTGATAATTGAGGTAGATAAAAATCAAATGTTGAAATTAAGTAAGAAAGGGTATTTAAATGAATGCGCCTTACCTTTGTTGTTTTCTTTATCCTGGTGAATTAAGATGTATGGAACCTGTAAACTTGCCGAGGACATGTGATGTAACTGGTTATATCACATATGTGAGAAACAGAGAATACAGAAAGGAAATTAATAGGATTATATAAATTGGTGTAACAAAAGGATAATTTTAGTGATCAATGTAATTATGTTAGCAACAAAGGAGTGTTTTTAGCCGTGTTTGAACAAGTTCAGTCACCTAACATATTTGGTGTTCAGAAGATAAGAAATCTATGGAGGATTTATTTGAAAGATCAAATTGACCTGGTGAATCTGATATTGTGTGGCCTCAATATCAGATATACTAATGTTTGCTGTCTTTGACAAGAACCCTTTCTTGTCGAAAGGTGAAGACTCCTTAATTAAGACATACCGCTTTGCAGATGATGACAATATTAATGGGTCGTAAGCTGAAAAGCGATATAAGGCAGAAATTAAGAGTAAATAAGCAACTGACTAGTTGTTGTCGGTCCATAAATTGACAAATTCGTTGTCTGTCCCACATCTGCAAATTTCTTGACTTTGACATCTGTCATAATGTAGTTCGTGCCCTATTACTCTCCAGGCTTCACTACTGTAACTCACTACTTTATGGTATCAGTAAATATAATTTAGGTCGTATTCAGAAACTTCAAAATAAGTGTGCTCGCCTTGTATGTTGCAGACCCAAATATTGTCACATCACTCCTCTTCTTAATCATTTCCACTGGCTTCCAATGTCACAGAGAATCCAGTTCCGCATATTACATTCTCTTATGTAATGTATTACATTAGAAAAATATGCGTATTCAACTATTGTATATACAATGCAGTACCATCTAATGACGCATATTGTTTTTGGTGATCAGAGGTAGAAGGCAGACATGGAAGCAATGACATTGGAATTTGTCTTTATAATAGGATAAACCAATTAGGCCTACCAGATTCAGCACCAGACGTTTCCTTATTTTCTGACACGTTTGGCGGACAAAACCGCAACCAGAATATCGCAGCAATGTTTTTGGATGCTGTCATGAACACCCAAGTCGAGTTAATTATTATGCATAACTAGAAGGTGGACATTGGAATGCAGTAGTATGCATGTGGCGATTGAGAATGAAAAAAATATGTTATATGTTGGAAGTCTTCACGATGCATGCCTGGGTGTCTAACTTTTTTTGAGCTAGGCGTCGACAACCATACAAGTGGTCAACTTGCTTTATCAAAACATTTATGATATCCAAAGACTTGCACAACAGCATTTGCAAAATAAGTGGCCCGTGGCGCTCTGATGAGCATTTTAACAGAGCCGTTGATAGAGAGAGTTTGGCCAACTCGGTTTCAATCACGTGACTTACACCGGCCATGTTGTCACCAAAACAAAAGAACGCGATAGGGTAGGAAGTTAGCAGTTATTATAGATGATTAATGCTATATAATGTGAAATACCGTTATGTTAGGTTTGGGGTTGCTGCAATCGATCCAACAAAGAAACAAAAATGTATTAATTTCCTTAAATTCCAAAAAGGAGGAGGATTTGGGATTTTATTTTAACTTTGTATGGCGATCGAAAAATCTCGCTATCCACGTAGTAAATTATATAAGGCATGTACCGCCCGCCCCACTTCGCGGTAATATATATCCACCTACTACTACTAGACAGGCCTAAATTTCGGTACTTCTTCGGCCGAACACCTTAAGGTAGTGCTTAAATCAGCTTAATTACGATGATAATAAAAAAAAAAAGAAAAAAGGAAGAATTTTCAAGCAGCAATGATTTATAAAAAGATGCAATGTTGCGCTTTGCTGTTAAATTATATAAAATTTACAGAAAGCTACTGAAGACTAGTAATAGTATCAGTGGTAGCTTAAATTATAATTAAAAATAAAAATTGAATCCTCCAATAAAAGCGAAACTTGTCCAAGGAGTCCTGTGCTATGCAAACATGCACAATTGTGCTTTACAAATCAATGAATTGTGCAACTAAAGATTTTAAAGATAAAAATATATTTTAAAGATATAGGCCTAATTGTATTATAATATATTGATTGTTTTAATACATATTTTAAATCAAAACGTTTAAATGATTTACAATTAAATTACAAATCAAAATTTCAATGAATAGGAAATAATGAATAATAAATAATAATAATAATAATAATAAATAATACAGTAATAATGATATTATAACTCACTAATATTATAAACAGAAGTGTTTGTACAAAAATTTCTCTCAATGCAATAATTCTTCAACTTTGATTTATTGTTTAGATTACAATTTACAAATAGGCCTAGGCTATTTGTTGGTTTGAAGATGACCAGCATATTTTATTTCATAAATTAAAGTTTACGAAGTCATAGGCCTAGATACAATTAGAAAACTTTTATTAATATTTTTATCATTCATTTACAGGCGAAATTAATATTATCGCCGACGATTCACAAACCTCACTCTGTCTGCACAACCAACCTTTCTCCTCTGCACTGCAGTGTTGACTCTTCTTAGGAGCCTCATTCTATATAGAGTAGGCTGCTAGCAACTAGGTATAGGCCTAGATGATAGACGTTTAAAACAAAAAGATAATCGTAACGAAAAAAAAAAAAGAATCGTCCTCACTTTATCTTCTCGAAATAATACAGCACGTCACTGATTAATTAATTCTAAAGTTAGGTAAATATGATTATACAGTATATATTTACAATGATATGTTAAAATCCCATAATTGAATTGTCCTCATGAACAGAATAATGAAAGAAAGTATATGCAGCATCAGTGTTTTATAAAATGTTATAAAGCTATACGCGCGCACGCTGTTTGGTGACAACATGGCGCCCATGCGCCAAGTTGGCCAAACTCTCTCTATCTACGGCTCTGCATTTTAAGCTCTTTTAGAATTATTTCAGGGAGTGTTTGTTGACAATACAGGTACATACTAAGCAAAAATATTTTAAATAAAAATACGTACAATTTGAGAGATGCTGTCTGGTTGCAAAGGTATAAAATTTCAGAATGGTGGCCATTTTGGACGCCATCTTGGTTTTAGGGTACTTATAAGATTAGGACTCTCCAGATAATAGTCTTATTGCATTCCTTGTACCTTAAAACATATATTTAGACACTTCATTTGTGCTTCCAACAATATTTGGTTGCAAAAATATGATAACAGTTTTAATTGGCGGCCATTTTTGAAGCCATCTTTCAGTGATTTTGGGGTACTTATAAGATTTGGACCCTACTCCTTGTACCTTAAAACATCAGTATATTTAGACACTTCATTTGTGCTTCCAACTTGTCTGGCTGCAAAGTTATAAAATATAAATATGGTGGCCATTTTGGACGCCATCTTGGATTTTGCGGAAGCTCCAGTAGGATTTTTGAGGACTTTTAGTATGTCATTCTACCCATGAACCTATCCTGAAAAATTTAGCTTGTTATATTTACAACCTAATGCTCTTGGACTATATTATCATTAATTAAATATTAACTATCCATTAAGTAACTTTTTTTTTTAAATATAAACCAATTCAGTTACAATGTTTACCCATGGTTTACCACAGTAAAAATGTATACCTGCTTTACTATCTATTTGTTTTAGTAAGAGGGCGCCCTAAAAATAGAGCGCCCTGCGTTTTACAGAAATTTCAATAGAAATCTTTAGTTTTTAAGATCTTTGACACAGACCAAATACTATTCACGCAAATTCTTTCGGAAATCCAGAGATATTTGAATGTTATAGATGTCAGTTAGACCATGTTTAGACCGAAGACTAGTGTAATTGAAAAGACTCACAGAAAACAGATACAGAATGTAAACGGAATATACTGTCTTTACCACTTCTCATGTCTATCTACCAATGTTTAAGACATGTTGCCTGACAATATAAGTTAAAGAAACCATGCCAAAATTTTTGAAGTGAGAAAATACTTGTAATTAACTTTCAAAAATTGTGTATACAGAGATAAGTACCATAGGGCCACTTGTTGGTTGCTGCCTGTAATGGTGATGTAGTTGGTAGAATAAAGTAATGAGACACAATTTGTGTAGATCATAATACAGTAAAGAAAGTAATTGACATAATTTATTATTTTCCTGTGCCCTTTTTAATTGCTTTTTCCATTTTAGACTTATTGTACATAATTGATTAAAAATCCTGAAAAAACATACTTTATCAATGCACCTAAAAATTATTTATCAGACCCTTGCAAATGTAACCCAAGGAAAAAGAAGCTATAAAATTCTGTAAGACAAAGTCAAAGAAACATAACAAAAGAGGAACACGACCAAGAATGAAAAGGAAAACATTCAACCTCTACTAGGACCATTGACCTCTTTAGTGACAAATCCTACAAAAGAGGAACATTGATCAAGAATTACAAGAATGAAAAGAAAAACATAATCAACCTCCACCAGAACCAATGACATAAAAGTTTTCATGTCACAACATTCATATTGAACAGGTAATTACTGATACAATCTCAAACATACTTTGTTAAAAGAATCTCTCAATAGAAAAACCCCCAAAGAAACAACCAGGTCATTTAATAAATATAAATGCTAAATATAAGAATAGAAAGAACTAATGTATCGAATGCATTAGTTCAAGTGGGGGTGGGAGTGTTAAATTAACATCCAATATAAAAGATTAACCATGACTCACATATAGCATAATAAATGCATGCTAAAAAGAAATGATAAAAAAATTTCTCAAAGACAGAATGCTATAAAAATACACAAACTACTATTTTGAGGAATGTAGAGAGAAATCACTACCATACACCAAGCTCATATTACAAAAGTAATTGAGAATATACTTCTGAATTGCAAGGTTTATCATGTGGAATTCATCAAGGGAATATTTGGGACCAACATCAACATGCTTCCCCTTATTCCTTAATTATAATTATAATTATAGGAATTATATTCTTTTAACGATGATACTGTTTTCTTTTCTAAGTAATGACTTACAAATATGATTGCAATAATATCAATAATGAATTACAAAATCTAAGCACCTGCTTTATCAAAAAAATAACATTCATCACTAATAAATAAAATATACTTGTAAAATATTTCTAAAAACCCATATTATGGAACCAAACTGGCTATCAATAAAACTTAACAAGTTAATCAAAAAACATTATTGGCATTATTAGTAATCAACAATTAAACTGAAAGTGTCATCTTATAGGGCATATTTATGATTATTAAAGAAGAAAATGGTGAAAAAAACTTAAAAAACAAAGTTTTATATAAATTATAATATTGCCAATGTATATAACCAATCTCAATTTATATTAAAACTCTTGATTGTTATGATCTTACTTAAACAAATACTGTCATTAAGTTTGAATTGGATTGGATTTATTCAGTGTAAACACCAAGGATAGCCCACGAAAGTCTAGAAGAAGACTTATTTCCAGCGGGGTCCTTCTGGTGGTGATTGGACAGTACACCAGGAGACAATCCCCTACTCTTTTCCGAAGAGTGTACTGCGTTCTTTATCGTTCACAAGGGCCATAGATGCACACGGGACCAACAGCTTAAACGTCTCATCCGAAAGACGGTGCACTATTGTAACTTGTATTTCAGCCCTCTAGCTGAAACACAAGGAGAGGCAGTGATGGGAATTGAACCGGGGACCTAGAGATCTCCACGGTTCAGCGCACACAGTGGCTACCACCAGATTAGCCGACTGAGCTAAGCTGCTCTCTCATTATTTACTAATGTTATTCAAGCATATTTTGGCTTACGCATACATGGTCAAAAAACATGAAAAAAAAAAAATTACCCACAAAAAAAAAATTATAAAAGGAATAACTGTGGCGGATACCAATAAAATATTAAAATCCCTTTAAGAAAGTACAAAATCAAACTTTTGCTACAATACAGTAGTAAGTGAACAAAATAAATATTGGAACTTGGTGAATTAGGATCCTTATTTTTTTTATTGTTTAATTTTATATTACTATATCATTGTATATACAGATTGTCCTTGAAAGAGATCTGCTGGAGTTAACAAAATAATGTCCTATCAAACCCTAAGCCTCCTGCTTTATACACAACCAAATCAGCCACTGAGAATTCAAATCCAATGAAAGGCAATTATTTTCCTGCACTTTCATATGCGTGTAACAGCCATAGTTCTCACTATGATAACAAAGATCTACATGATACACCTTTACCTTAAGAATTTGAAAGATCTCTGAAGAGATATTTGTATTAAATTAAATGATACTTAAAGTGACAAACTCAAAACAATCATGTGTAAAGCAGGGCACTTTCGTCGTACAACTATTGGTCGATGGATCCAACTTCACTTCTGCAAGCGCTAGACGACGTGACGTCATCTGCTGATTGTCAGTGGTAGTCGCGATCTGTTGCGTGTATCATGGCATATATTCTCCATATAATTGCATCAGCTGACGGCCATCAGACGCAGCGAGTGCCTAGCTTAATGGTAAAAAATGAAGACATTTTCATTAACATACAACATTGTCAGATAATATAAGACATAGCTAAAATATCTGACTTCATACTGCGATTCAGTCTGGCATCAATCACTTTTGCTCTTTGGAACAAAGACCCTCTGCATGTAGTTGTTCATAAATCTTCCATCTGGATCCAACTTCTCACGAATCTCACAAAACCTCTGAAACTCTGGGTACATGTTTTGTAGTCCTTTATAAGTTAATTTGTGTGCCTGATAAAAAGTAGAATAATTTTCATGTTGCAATACTTCAATTTATTATTATTATTATTATTATTATTATTATTAAAATATCCAATACTTTAATCCATGCATTATTATTAGAACACCACCAACGATGATAACAAAAATAATAATAGTTAAAACCTAATCAAGAAATGGATATCCAATTCCCATTGATATGAAAAATAACACACAGTAGGCATAATTTCATCACTAAACTGTTGATAGTTTTACTCTGTACTTACCTTAGCCCAGTGTGGTCTACCATCATATTTTAACATAATTGTTTCATATGCTGTCCAGTACTTTTCAATTTCAACATACTTTCCATAAGGTCTGAATTAAAATACAAAAAAATAATCTAATAATAGTCTAATAAGATACAATTTTTGACGTAGATAATTGGCTTTATGCATGCTTGTTTACAAAGTAAACATATGTTTTTCCGTTTCCTTGAATCACACATTGTGAATTTCTATATTGGGATATGTATTATGAAAGGTACTGTATGCATTTTTAAGACACTAAAATGAGCAAAAACCAACAAATCTTGGATATCATTAAATAATTGTTGTCTTCAATGTTTCAAACATAAGCATGACTGCTAAAGGAAGTCAGCTACAGTGGCATCCTGCCCCCCCCCCCCACCCGCACTTGAACTAAATTTTTCAAATATATAAAAGAGTGGAGAGAAAAAAGAAAATTAAATTCAAATTTAAGTCTGAGAGTGCCTTTTCCGGCCATCTAGGGGTGCCTGGGACCCCCTTTCTTTTGAATTACTGGATCTGCCACTGAGCTATAACATGCACAACCCTGGATAATCAATAAATGTTCCCATGAACTGCAGTACCAAAAAACATATCCCGTTTCTATGAAGGGCACTGTCCAGGCAGTTGGTACCCTGTGCCTGGAACCCTTGATAATTATTAATTAATATTTTCTTGTACATGTACTATTATTAGTTTTATACTTTATTAGTACTACTACTATAAATATTTTCAACTCAGTGAAATAAAGCACTATGTTTCTCTTGATAAACTTGTTTAATCATGGAAATTTTAATTATATTTGCTATTACAGTGTTCTCCCAATTAAAGATTTTTTTTGCTGGTAAATTTGTCCATATAAAGACAGCATAGTGCACAGCATGAGGCATTCTTCTTTTTGGGTGGGGGTTTAATGACTTAGACTTAATGATGCCTTACTTGATTAATACAAGCTGGCCTAGGCAGTGCTATTTTTTACCAAGACTTACTGTTTGGCTGTTTATCTAATTGAAGGCTAAACTGCCATCAGAACACTGTATAATAACAAAATACAGTACAAATATTGTATATAATTTGTTTTATTCTTTTCTTGAATATTGATGTTTTTTGTCCTAAATTTTTATCTTTGCACTCTTACTTTTTATATGTAAGGACCCCCTTTGAAATATGTGGTTTTCATGGGCTATCCTTGTATGTAAGCAACATTGCAACTTTTCATTTTTTTGTCTTGTTCTTTCTATGAATTTAGGCACTGGTATTAAGAAATTTCACTTTGTCATTTTTTTTTTTCTCATTTCTTTCCTATTTTTTTAAAATCTTGATGTTGTTTTATACCAAATAAATTCAATCAATCAATCAATAAAATTGAAAAAAAAACTTATTTAAATGGCCTCCATGAATCATATAAGCCATGAGTAATAAAACCAAGATAACATTATGGACTTGCGGGTAATGTGTTAATTTCCAGTGAATTTTTGCTTGATCACACAAGTTTGCTTTTAATTACTGCCACATACAATTCACAATATAATGTGACAATAAGTGAGCCAATAACATCGGCAATATGCCTTTCTCCACTGCTGGAAACTAACAAAACAGAACATTGACATTACAACCACTTGATTCTGACCTGTACTTGAGGATGTTGATATAACAAGAATCTCGTCCATAACATGGGCTTAGAAAAATGTCATCTGCTTTGGTAAATCGAACCTCGACTGGAAAATGTGCTGGGGTGTCTGGATTGGCCTCCAACCATGAAACTAGATCTCGTAAAGCTTTTGCAGCATTCTCTCTAGTCGTTTAAAATAAAACTTTATTAAGCGTTTATAAAGTTGTTGGTTAGAGGTCTGGAGTGCCTATCTCTCCTTCCTTGGCATTTCGACCAGACTGTGCAAGGCTGTGGGGGTGAGGGTTGCCACTCCTCCCACAATAAGTCTGTTTTAACTTCCCAGCATATGCATATGCCAGTACCAATTTATACTCCTGGATAGAGAGAGACAAGCATAGATAAAGTGTCTTGCCCAAGGCCACAAGTGACATGCACAGCAAGGGTTTTCGAACCCCGACCTCAAGGTTGAGAGTCCACGCCACAACCGTTTTGTCAAACACTTTCATGGTTGAACTTTAATATCATTTATAATTTAAAGATAATGTGTGTTGCACTTGTTTTCCTATTTGGAGCTTAACACTTACCTTGGTATTGCCCAGTCAGTTACATATTGTACAAAGAGACACTCAAAATCAAATATCTTGTAATAATCATCAATATCCTCACGATAACTGGAGTGTAAAAACCTGTAATAGATCACGTTGATGATAGGGACCAGGCTTGGAAAAAATGTACTGTGAAGAAATAAGAACACAAATTCATTATCTTCCGCTATTAATGTGATGATCTCTCATATAGAATGTGTAGACACTTTGTATGTTATTACTGCTTTATCTAAAGCTTCAAATATATGTTTTATGGAAAAAGGGAAACAAAGTTATTCCAGGATGGAATGATCATATGACTGATTACCATAAAGTTGCAAGAGAGTAAAATTAAGATACATATATTTAGAAAAAGTCAAGATACACCCATTCTTGCTTGCTCGTGCTTATCCAGCGAGCCGTCTGGCCGACTTTGGACGGCCAACAATTATTTAGGATGGCCACTTTTACCGTGACGACTTGGACAGATTTGCCTAATCTGCTCGGCCTAGCCTAATTGTGCCTGCTCTACCTTTAGCAAATTCTTCATATTCTTCAAATCTATCGAATGTTACATTAAACTAAAGCTAAATCATATTTACGTTTGATAAAACAACTTTGTTAATTAATATTCCATTCAATTTGTTTTAAATGAAATTATTCGTAATAACTATAATTTTAATTAATATTTAAAATATTTTATATATAATATTTAAATTATGTAATGAGTTGTTGCATTACAATTTCTTTGCTTTTTGTAATTTGATGTTTGTTGGTGTTGACGTATTTATGCCAGATTCAAGGAACATTTCTGTTTATGTATTTTTATATGTGAATTGACCAATAAAGCTTATCTTATCTTATCTTTAGAGATTCGGTTACCCGACATAATATTGTTGGTGATTATAAATAATTCATGAATTACCATAAAGAAGATTTGTTGTTAACGTCACAAGTTAAAATGTATTAGTCAACAAAATACAGTACATTATGTAAGTTACTGTAGCTGCGCACAATCTATGTCTATAACTGAAATATCTTTGTGATAGCTTCAACACTATTTCTTTCAAGACAAAATTCCAACAATTAAACACCTTTAAATGCTTGCCCTCTAAAGATTATAATTTTTAATTTTTTCTTATGTTTGGAAGGGGGCGTGGCCCTGAGTGGGCGTGGTGATCATCGGCTTAGGGCCACGCCCACTTGCTTCTCTTTTGGACGGCCTATTTCATTTTTCTGGCTAAACCCCTGCTTTAGACCCCTGTTACTGATGAAGACAACGTAAATGTGCAATATGAACTACCACAACCTGATCCAATAAAGGAATTGTAAAAGGTGGTAACCAATAGCATAATCCCAAAACCAGTTTGCACTGCTCTTCATTGGACACGTCGTCTTGTCAACCTCCCAATAGACCACGCCATCTGTATGGGGGAAGTAACAGAATCGGAAGTATTCACTTTTGCAAATGTGGCCATCTAGATTCTCCAACATCTGAAAAAAACAAAACATCAAAAATACAAGAACATTTGCTTGCTGGATTAGTACTGTACAAGAAGATAACGGAAAATAACTATTACAAAACAAAATAAAAAATCTATAGTCTAAAAAAACAATTTAAAATTCAACAAATTAAAATTTATTGTTGATATATCGCATATACAAATCAGCCAAGGATACGCATCCTTACAAAGTGGGGCTGACGTAACGTAGAGCGTACTCTAGTAGTATGGCACTCGCCTTGACAGCAACAGATAGCTGGTTCAATTCTTGACAGATGAATTTTTCATATTTGATGAAGAACGTTTTTGTTGATAGGCTATGCACAACACAATTTTGATTCTTATTCTAATAAAGTATACAATACAGCCACATTCTTTTCTTCAGTTTAACAGATAGCGACAGTATGCTGGTTTTGAGATGGCATGCCTCATATATCTCTACATCACTGTTCTATTATTCAAGCACTGTCATGGTTACAGTGCAACTGAAGAGTAGCCACTGATAGGCAACACACTTTCTATTTTAGATGGCACTTATATTTATATACATAAACATTCTGAGAATTACCTCATCTAAAGTACAAGACAGCTGTTTCTGATGAAGTTTAAAGTGTGGTTCACATTGGAGTGTAATAGATGTAATGATTCCTAAACAGCCTAGACCACACAGGGCTGCTAGAAAAAGCTCTTTATTCTCTTCTCTGGAACACTTCATCATTTTACCATCTGCAGTTAAAAATTCTAGCTCTGCTATCTGAATAAAAAAAAAATCAAGGTTTTGCATTAAGCATGGATTCCATAAAATCGTGTTTTAGCACTGAGTGACCTCTTGACTTGTGGTGACTTGAGTGGCAAGGGCGTCGCTAACTACAGCCTTAACATCGGCACTGGTTCGAGTCATTCCTCACCCAAGGGTTAGGTTGGTAGAAACAAGTCTTCTCTGTAGGACTTAAAATGGAAGTCCAGTGAGCACATGACTCGTGTGCACTTAAGAACCCATTAAATCTTTCAGCACCCTGATGTTAAGGTGCATTCTGCCCCTGTCATTGTGGAACGTTATGAACATGAAGCTTCTATAAGCGCCCCTTTACAGCAGCTTGGTAGCTACGCCCATACTTAATTCAACATAATGACGCTACAAGTTATGGATTATTCTCATTCCTTTCCGGGAACTGTACTTCTAAAATAATTTGTGAAAAATATGTATTTGTTTAGGAACCAATATCTCTTTAATAAGATGGGGTATACCAAAGTTATGCTATATTTCAGATCTACAGACAAAAGTTAGTCTGGATACTAATTTTTAGCTAATAATATCTCTATTTTGTTTTATGAAATGGCTATTTAAACATGCAACTTTGGAAAAGTGTGCTTTGCCAAGGCCAGAAATATGTATGACCCAGCAATTTCAAATGGCTGTAACTCCTAAACAACAGAATTGGCAATTCAAATTTTTGGTGTGTTTGCTTGATATATTGATGCATATTGATATGCAAGTTTTAAAAATTCTGAAATATATATTTCCAAAGAATTATAGAAATCCAATAACAATTATAGTCAGCATATTATAGCCAATTCAATTCAAATATGGGTAGATATCAAATATTGTTAGCACATTACCAACACATAAACAAATGAAAACAGTTTTACTGTATGAATAAAGCAAGCAATAATGATAATGATCATGAATAGTCAGGTTATTATTAGTGTTGCAAATACACCGATTTACATTAGAAAAAAATCAGCAATATGGCACTCAATCACCATTACTATTATTCTTATGTACAAATATTTCTTGCATCAAATGTTTTAAGCATAATTAATAGATAGAAAAAGCAACATACAAAAAGGAAGAGGAAACGTTAAGTACTCATTCTTTTGAAGAGATTCCCATAAGGCCGAACCAAGTGATTCCATTATATTTTGAACAAGCAAGCAAGCAGGCTTACACATTTAATTTAATTTAATTAGTCTAAATTTTATGAATACACAATTTATGAAGCTATTATACGTGCAGCTGGCAGAATACAAATTCTGATGCTGAAACAAACAAGTATTTTATTACCTTCAATAAAAATTCTGATATTGTAAGTACTGAAATCAATGAATAATGCATGAACTCGCAGGATTAACATAAATTTTTGTGATACATATTTAAAGGGCAGCTCTACCCACAAATTTTCCCAAAAATGTTTAGCTCTTCCCTATCCAGACAACATACACATTCATTCATTTGGTGCCTTTCCTGATTTACTCTAGATTTCAAACTGAACCACCACAATAACAGTTTCTTGACCAGAAATTCATAGGCGTAGATCCCGGGGGATGGGGGAATATATCCCCCCAATATTTGACAAGGGGTGGATGGTCCATTGTATCATCCCCCTCCCAATATTTTGACTATGTATGGGATAAAATGGGGCTTTACACACTTCAAAAGACTGTCACAGAAATAATTTGCACTGTCTTATGCGCTACAAAGATGAAAATTAGCATAATGCATTAATGTTGATAACAAAATTATTTTATCTGGTACCAATCTAAGCTCTTCTTTCCTTAGATGTTAGATGTGCTTGCAAAGAGAGCCACATTTCACACTGACAGGTGTGTACGACATCAGTAATGTTATGTCAATTCCAAGAATGTTTAAGGTTATATCGGTTGATGAGGAATTTATTGATTGCATCTTGCAAAAACAAGTTTCCAGCTTCAGAGGGGGCATATCCCCTGTCTGCACACGGGCATACATTGGCGCTAACACCAGGCGCGTAACAGGGGTCTTGGGTCGGAGTTGGTATTTATTTTCCCGGTTAGTAATTTACCATACCCACCCCACTCCCCATATAGAAAACAATACGACATAGGGCTTATCTGATTTATAATATAGGTCACACACGTGTGTTTGAAACTAAATATAAGCATTTTCATCATGGTTTTATTTATTACAAACATATTCTTTCACCATCAATACACATTGAGGCTTTTAGGTTAATCTATCTTAAATTTGTCTTTCTTGAGTTTGGGACTATTATGTGTTTAAATAACTTAAAAAGATAACCCTAAAAAAGCCCTAAAAAATGCGCGCGAGGCGCACAAAATATTTTTGTGTTGTTAATTCTAATTTCGTCGGAATTGATGAAAACTCCCTAAAATGTGCAATTTATAGAGGAAATTGGCCTACCGTAACAAGAAATGCACGTAAAGAATTTGAGAACTTTAGGCACTTTCAGAGGATGCATTTGTCAAGGGGTGGGGAAAGATTTGTCAAAGAGGGATATTTTCCCCTTGTCCCGTGGTGTTTTTAATTCTAATTTCGTTGGAATTGATCAAAACTCCCTAAAATGTGCAATTCTTAGAGGAAATTGGCCCATGCTAACAAGAAATGCGCCAGAAGCGCGCGAAATTTGAGGTTTTTAGGCACTTTCAGTGGATGAAAAGGGCATTTATAAAGGGGTGGGGAAGATTTTTCGAAGATAGATATTTTCCCCTTGTCCCCCAGTGGTTACGCCGTCGGGCAGCATGGAGCAAAGGAGTTTTGACAGTTTTTGAAGTGGAGAAGGGGTTGCAGGTTGTTGTGAGTCTGGTCATTATGATATTTCCTTTTTATTCTTGTCTTTTTTTTCTCTTCTCTTTTTCTTTCCTTTTCTTTTCCTCTTCTTTCTCTTTCCCTCCCTCTCCCCTCTTTCATTTCTCTTATTACTCAGCCCGGTACGACGGCTTGGTCAGCCTGGTAAAAACCGTCAGGGGAGGGGCAGTATTCCCCCTAACCCCACCCCCCGCGCCTGTTGCGACACTGGCTAACACGCCAATCATCCCCCCAATGAAAAATATTTTTCTACGCCACTGCAGAAACTGCAAATAATGAGCACAGATATATTCCTTGCTCCTGTCCATAAAAACTCTGTGGTACTGTCTAAAATACGCCAAAATTGCAATGCTGACCTAACCTAGAACTTATTATTATTATTATATTGTAGAAGTGGTTGGCGCATCGGTTGTGGTTTGGACTCCCAACCTCGAGGTCGGGGGATCAAAACTCTCGCTGTGCAAGTCGCTTGTGTCCTTGGGCAAGGCACTTTATCTACGGTTGTCTCTCTCCACCCAGGAGTAAAAGTGGGTACCTGGTAGGTTCAAACACAGCCTGCGCTGAATACAGCTGCAACATTATGGAATTCCCCTATGGGGCTGTAGTGTGTGTTCCATATGTGCTTGATCCAGTGATCCGGGGTAATAATGTTCAGCGCATAGAGAAGTTTGATATGCGCTATATAAGTATACAATAATAATAATAATTATTATTATTACTTCATTTCATCGAAGACAGAATTCTTATGGAAATACTTTACCAAAAACCTCAAATGGGCTTAATCTCAAGAAGAAACCCATCTCAAAAACAATCCCCTTCTTTAGTTTGCAAAAGCAATCTTGAATTAAAATTGTATGGGTTATTTTTTTGGGATATTTCTTACACTCAGGCTGATGTTAATTTTGAAGATTCTGAAAGCCAGTCAGTATCAATATTATTTTATTGTACAGTAGCAAAAAACTAAATTTCCACATGATTATAATCGAAAAGGTACTGGGTTTGGTCAATATTTGTAGAACTTGTTTAATGGAGAAAGTGTATCTTTTTAGCAGGGTTGCCCAGATGGAAGCTAACTCTGTATAAATTTGTTATAAAGGTTACATAATTGATTTATCTAATTCACATAGACACTAAACTGTATTTAATGAGAAAAAAAAACTTGCTGTATGTTCAATTAATTTTGTGTGGAAATTTTTAAAATACTTTAATTTGAAAATTAATCTAAAAAGGAAGGCCATCTCAAAAGAACCCTACCAAGGTCCTAAACAAAGAAGCCCAGGGATCCTATTAAAAGGTTTTACAGTTTGATTCTAGAAAAATAAATGTTAATGATTTAGAAAGTGTTAACGTTTGCGGATGGATTATTTTTACTCACATATGTGGACATGATACCGATGTTTTTTCCAGTTCCGTGGGTACCTGTTGATATGCTTCCTGCTACAGTTATATCAGATGCGGAACCTTGTCTAGTGGTCAAATATGATCATGAGAAATAATGAACAAAAAAAGATGACGACAATGATGATAATAATGATGACGACGATGATATTATGGACATGGTTTTTATAATGTAATGTTAAAATTTCTATTACGATTGAACAACAATAAACATCAACATTTACCTAAAGTTTCAATTATGATAGAACCAAATAACATATGTAAATGTTGATGTTATTGTTGATGTTGATGACATAAACCTAACTAGTCCTTAGACCCATTGTAGATTCAATAAATACCATCTACTGCAATATGGCACACAACTGAAATTCTCACCCTTTAGGCTAGACTTTTTTTATTCCCTGTTTCGCGTACTGATTTTAAAGATCGGGAGGGCGGAATAAAAATAAAAATAAAATTTTGTTTTCTTATTTAGCAAATAGTTTTGCAAAAAACATCCAGATGGAGGAGAAAATAAAAATAAAACTTTATTGGTGAATGTAAAAAGGAATGGTTAAATGCTTCAATTTTTTCATGGCGGCGGGTGTGCTAATTGGCCAAAAATAAAATTTAATTATTTGCGTTTGCTGGGTTCGCTAAACAAGGTATAAAAAGTCTCACCTTTGGTAACTATAAAAATCACATACCAAATTCTAAATAAGTGTCAAAAGAACTGAAACAGCTGACACTTATGCCAAAAGTAAGATTAGTAAGTGCAGCTAACAGGAAGGATTTATTTCTTGCATATGGTAACAATTTCACTTACATTGTTAAAGCCATGTTATACTTTGGTAAGATCTCTTGATTTAGTTTCTTAACTGTCATGCCAGCTTCAAATTTGATTCTACAGTTTTCTTCATCAACCTATAACAAATTGAAATTAATATGTGGCAAAGACAAGCCAAACGAGTCACTTGTCGCAAATCGTGTTTAACAGATAATGTCAACATTTTTGAAATCTATTTTATTGCACTAAAGTAACTTTTATATATCTATCATGATATGCTGTTATTTTCCCCATTTTCTGCCTGATAAATGCCTGAAATCATATAATTTGAAGGCTGATTTCTCAAATATTGTTATTTATTAAACAGCTGTATGTTTGTTTGTTTATGTTGATAGCCAAATAGTGGCTTTTCGACCGGAATTCTCATTATTTGATCGCTTTAGCTATTAAGTTGCGCATTCTCAATTGTTGCTTAAAAAAGTTCAATTTTTCTCATTTCTATTTCACACCCTTTTCGCAGATGCCATTTGGTATTTGGTCATGCTCAATGATTTCTGCACAGCATTTCCAAGTGCATGCTCACTGTGTTTTCATAGATATATCCGAGATTTTTTTTTTTGGTAACTGCGCATGTGCAATTCTTAGTTCATAGTTTGTTTGTAGCAGCCTAAAGGTGCGGCATGAAAATTAATCATTATATCATCATCATACTGTACATTATTAAGGCCTATTGTGCATAAATTCAAATGTACAAAACAAATAAAATAGACATAGAGATGAATTTCACTTTCAAAAAAGAAAAGATCTGGTCATGCTCACTTGTGTTCTTTAGAAAACACATTGCTGGTCATAATAAATGACAATCCAATAAACTCACTTCCAAAACATTATCAAAGAGGTCAAGGTTCAATATATAGTCAGTGGTGCACACAATGTCTGAAGGTGAATGACCTTTTCCTGATACTCTAATCTTCTTATCATTCTCTTTGGCTTTCTCCAAAATCTGATTCAAGTGAAAGATAAAAGATAATAATAAAAATTTGTCTTCTAAAATACATCATATTCAATAGCAATCACCATTTAGGCTAGGCAATCTAGTACTTGAATTCAAATAAATATCAAACAAATCAAATACATATGATATGAGGACAAATTACATGCTCAAGTCACATGCCTGGAACATATGCAAATTAGATAAAATATGTAAATTAGAAGTGAAAATATAGGGTTCTAATATCTTGGCAACCACTGGTCGCAGAGAGTTGCTCTTTTTAAAAAAAATTTCAGAATTAAATAGGCATGTTTCTATTTGCTCTTAATGGAGTAATTGCCCCCAAAATAGCCAGAAATGCTACAATTTACAACTAACCTCTCCAAACTAATGGCCATAAAAATTTGATTTAGATTTCAAATTATTTAAAAACATGCATCTTCTCATTATATTAATAGAAGAGATGGAAATCTATAATCAGACCTACTGTAGATCACTTAATACTGTTCATAGGCAAATTAGATTAGCTCTTTAATTATGCAAATTACACGAGAAAATATCTGGGTTCCCATATGTAAAGGTCTGGATAAGAGCCTGGACAAACATAGCCAATTTGTCAACAAAATTTGTTTGACCCACGCTTTTTCTAGCTCTGCCTTGGACACTTTCATAATTTTTTTTAATTTAAGAAATGACCCTATTAAACACCACCGGGATTCATTATTTTTTTTCCATACAGTTAAGGCAGAAATTATAGAGGGCACTATTTTAGGCGAGTTAGGTGAACTGAAGGCATGAATATGCATGCCTGACCTCCCCCCTCGCAAAACAGAGAGCGGTGTATCGAGTAACCTGCAGTGCGTATACATAGATGAATGCCACGGCATAGGCCAAAATCTCTTAAACAGGCCTTGGTAGTCAAGACAGTGTGAAAATTAATGGATTATAATTGTAATAATATCCTTATGACTACACAAACGTTCCACAAATTTGGGCCGCAAAGCCGTCTGGAATTGAAAAAAAATAACAAAGAGACATTTCATCATGGAGAAAATAGTTACTAAAGCCGCTTCATTGTTACAGCGAATGCGTCGCTTGCACACACTGCTAGAGTGCCATATGATGCATGCTATTTGAGTTATAAGCGGTTTTTGTGTCTATGTCCTCTCGGGAGCTAGACACTATGTTATCGTCTAGTGTTAACCTTGTAAGATCGAGTAAATCCGGTATGGAGGAATGATGGGATGAGTCATGAGCTAAAGATAAAAAAATATTTAAGACCTGTCCTAGAAAGATCACTACAGTAAACAACACCACACATTTCTTCATAACCGAAAGACCATGTAGATACTTTATTACTATACATAATACCTGTATTATAGTAAGGTTGTCTTTCAAAGTTGCGGAGTAACAGAGTGTGCATGAAAGATTTGGAAGAGGGAGAAAGCTATGACATGTGTGGCTGAACTGTGTTTGGTTGAATCATGGTAGAAAAAAAAAACAATCAACAATTGTTGGGGGGAGGGACAAATGTACAGTATTATTCAATAAAATAATATTCAACTTGTATAAAAAGAAAAATTTTATCACTGAAAGAACAGATAATGATGTCAAAATATTGTATATACATGGAGGTTTCATGATCAAAAGATCTTGCCACAATTTGGTATGTTGGTCCCTGGGGCGGCTGGGCCGCGGCTTGGTACCTGGAATCGTAAATAGGCTGTAAAGTAAAAAGTTTGCGAAATGCTGGACTAGACACAGTTTATGTACAGCATGGTCTATGAAAGTATTAAAAAAAAACACATTAATAGTGAATCTGGCTATTTGAGTACAGTATAGTTTGGCATGTGTTGTAGCAATTGTATGCCCCCTATAGTAAGTACTGATTTTGAAGGATAAACGTTTAGAAATTCTTGGAGACAAATTACAAGACTTCAGCCAGACAGTGGGCGTATTTGCTGTATTCTTTCTTGCATGAATCATTGGCTGGTAAAATTTAAGGATTTTTTGAAGAAGCGCCTGCAAATCAGTGAACGCTATTTTTAACTTCCATCTGTTTTTGATACTTTTAAATGACCTACTTAATTTTTTTATTGGGTAGACAGCCTTTAATAAACAGTATGTCATATAGGCCTAGTCAGTGTACAGTATAGAATATCATCAGTTTTGGCAAAATTAATGTTTATAAGATGCTTGAATATAAATCTAGGCCTATTACTAAATTTTGAAAAAGTTTGTGAAAAATCAACATTAAAATAATACATACTGTAGAATTGTCTCAATAGTGTGTCTGAGCATTTTTAAATGTTTATGTCCTTCAGAAACAGTATGGCAGTTAGTAATTCTATATGTTTACACTACTACTACTCAAATAACCGACAAGATTCAATGCCGACTTTCAAACCATGCTGTATGTAAACAGTGCCTAGGCATAGGAATATTATTATTACAGTCTATTAACTTTCACTGTGTCCTAGTACCAGAGATTTTGGCCTACCCTAACCCTACAATTGTTTTGTGATTTTGTACACATTAAATTTTATTTTCTTTGTATTGATGAGCAAGAAACAATAGTGTATGTAAAATATATTGAAAATTGTTTGATTCAGTGTGATCCTAAGTAAGTTACTGGTGGTACAGTTATGAACAAATACATAAAATGTAACAGCTTCCTAATTTGACATTACACTAGCTTTTAAGTGTTCTGGTCTTCAGATGAAAGTGGTGATATACACATACTGTAATCAATCATTATAATATAAACAACAGGCTCTGGACAGTTAAAACCCCAGTGCAGGGGTGGTGCTAGCGGGGGGTCTGGAAGGGCAAAAGACCCCATCGGGGACCTCTGGATCCCCTTTGAGGGAATTTACAGGAAGGTCGCCGCGAAAAATCAAATCTCGAGCGCCGAAAGTACAATTCAAGCATACCTTACTAATACTAAGCTGTCAAATTTTAGGGATAAAAAACTGTTTAGTGCGAGCAGTGCTATCAAAGCGCAAGTTGCAGTGGCGGCGCTAGCTCTTTCCCAACAGGGGGGCTGGTACCCCTGACAGGGGTTAGTACCCTCAACAGGGGGTTAGTACCCTGACAAGGGGTACTCTTAACATGCATGGTTTTCTATCAAATTATCCTTTTTAAATAAAGAAACCCCTGTAATTAAAACAAAATTTTATTATTTTTTAATACAAATTTCTCCGACAAATTAAAATTTTCCCCGACAGGGGTAGGGGAAGCCTAGGTGTGAACCCCAAGTCGGGGAGCTTGGACCCCTTGTCGAGGAATTCCTGGCGCCGCCCCCTACCCCGGTGAGCTAATTGCTAATGTGCAAGGAAGATAATAGATAATGATAAGAATCTCAATAAAATCGGAGAAGAGTATGCCTAGTGACATTAACGTACAGCAATAAAATACATATCATTTCAGTCGCGCTGTACTGTTATGCATTTTGGCAAAGGCATTGATCCATGGGTAAGACAAATTGCAAAATAAGGAAGCCTTGGCTGGGGGCCAGGGGGACCACCTGGGGCCCCAACAGGGTGGGGGGAGCTAAGGCCCAGGAGCTCTGGCATCTTTAGCCTTTTATAAGTCGTACCTGATTGATTTTAAAGGAATGCAATTAACATGTATTTCCACACTACATTCTCGAAATACAGTGGCAGATCTAGGAATTCTAAATCGAAGGAGGGAATTATACAGATGGCGTGTAGACCACCTCAGCCCCACCGTTTGTGGGGAGAGGAAAAAAAAATTATGATTATGGCACCTCTGTTGGCTGGAAATGGCACTTTCAGATTTAAATTTGAATATAATTTTCTTTTATCTCCACTTTTTAAATTTTGAAAAAATTAGGGAGGGTGGGCCTATCAGGAAAAATTTGGTTCAGGTAATTTTAAAGCCAAAATCGGTCCGGCAGACCGATTTTGGCTTTAAAATTACCTGCCAAATGTAGTCCACATAAGCCTAAATCAGTCCGGGGACTAATTAGTAGTTATAACTTGTATTTTTATAACGTTGATCATATTTTTTTTTAAATCAAATTATAGATAAATATCTTATCTCTCATTATATATGTTTTCATTCGTTATGTGAAATTATAGATGAAATTAAGTAAAGCTTCGCGCCCAGTAAACCCTTTGGTGTAAAAGTACAATATGAAGTTAAACGATGTGGTCTTAAATCGTGTTGGTCCGCTTTAGTTTATTTTTTTACCTTGTTTTGTTTTGGTTGATGTGCTTAACTCTGCGGCGAAGTACAGTGCATGCATTCAATTAGAAGAATTCTGACCCCTTTATTTCATGTATTAGGACACCAAGGATAGCCCATGAAAGTCTAGAAGACGACTTATTTCCAGTGGGGTCCTTCTGGTGGTGATTGGACAGTACACCAGGAGACAATCTCCTACTCTTTTCCGAAGAGTGTACTGCATTCTTTAACGTGCACATGGACCATAAATGCACACGGGACCAACGGCTTAAACCGAAAGATGGTGCGCTATTGTAACTTGTATTTCAGCCCTCCAGCTGAAACACAAGGAGAGGCAGCGATGGGAATTGAACCAGGGACCTAGAGATCTTCACGGTTCAGCGCACACACAGTGGCTACCACCAGATTAGCCGACTGAGCTAAGCTGCTCTCTGAGAGCTAACCTCTCTCTCATATATATTCTGAATATGTTGTGCCCCCCACCCCACCTCTTTTTTTGATGGTGACGTAATGCCATTTACCGTACTGTACCTTTAGCAAATTGAAGTAGGAAGGTATGGTACGTCATAGGCCCTATCTCTACAGCGTAGAAATTTACTTTATTCAAAATGTTTGTTTCCTTTTTTTTCATTATTTTATTTTAATTAGCAAATACAAGCGCACTTATGCCCTAGGCGACCCGGCCTACTTCCTTTTGGTACGACTATAAAAACTAAAATTCATTAGCACCTAGCCTAGGCTAGACCAGGCCTACAGTGAGAGTGCTAGTCTAGCCATGACAGTTGCCGTACCGTACCAGCTTTATTTCATCGATACATGTGGGTTGAAAGTACAATTCAGGCTGACATGAGAACGTCTTGGCCCAATTTTGAAAGGTGATGTCAGGAACTCCTTCCTAGTAAAATAAAACGAGACGAATTTATATACCCAATAGTTACCATCCAGAACAACAATATAACTCGGGTAACATAGTAATGTGACATTAAAATATTTACTTACTTTCATTATTACACACACGCCACAATCACACACCACAATTCACAAACGTACGACGATGCAGTGTGGTCTGACGGACGGGAGTCGGCTACCTCGTATCAAAGATACTAGAAATACAAGATAGAGTTCTCCACACAAAAAAAGTGTTCCACACCGTGTTCCACCGAAATGCATGGTGGGAATACGAAAAATGGGACGCCCCCTACAGCTGGATCTAAAAAAACTTGTGCCAAACTTTCTTTACCAAGTCGTCGCGTATTTTATTATCAATTCTCAACAAGGACACTAGACAAAAAACAAACTGGAATAGACACCCAGACAGTGACATCGGTGAATACATAACCTCCTTGGTGGAGGTAGAAATCGTTGCTATTATCCAAATAATACACAAAACAATTAAAGCATAATCATGAATCAGTAAAGAATAAAACAACAATACAGCGCAGAATCGCATGGCCGGACGCGCTCTTAGTGAAAAAGTTTTCCTCCATAAGTGGACAAGGAAGGGCGCCTTTTGCGTCTGGATATACTTAGCAACAGAAGGGCGCCCTGTACGTTGGGCACGAAGTATAGGAAACTTGCATGGTTAAAAAGAAGGGCGCCGCCTACGTTGGGCACGACTTCCGCCTCATTTTTACAATGCGAGAACTCTATCTTGTATTTGTATTTCTAGTATCTTTGCTCGTATGCCCAACCAGGGTTGCCAGATTGTCGACAGGCTTCACGCTGGCTTCACGGCCAAACACACGCCATCTCACGGCCAAATTCGGCCAAACTTTTTTTCGATATCGACCAAAATTCGGCCAGATTTAAATCCGATAAGAAGACAACAGTGAGTACGTTCATTTGAAATACTACAAAAATTATACGAAAATCAGCGGTCATTCGTTTGAAATTGAAGAAATGCAAATGATATACACAGAACAATGTTTAAAATAAATAGCCTATGTTCTTTAGTTGCTGGCATGCAGGCCAATTTAGGGGCAAATCCAGAGATGTCCGAAAGGGGGAGGGCCGGGGCCGAAAAAAGGGGAGGAGGGAGGGCGAAAGTGGGTCCGATCGAGATAAAACCATCGTAGAAGACAAAAGTGGGTACATTCATTTGAAATACTACAAAAATTATACGAAAATAAGCGGTCATTCGTTTGAAATTGAAGAAATTCAAATGATATACACAGAAAAAAAAAAAGTCAATAGCCTATGTTCTTTAGTTAATAATAATAATAATAATAATAATAATAATAATAATAATAATAATAATAATAATAATACACATTTTTAAAGCGCCTATTAAAGCAAACAAAACTGGCTTGTCACCGGCGCTGGAGGATGTTAGAAAGAAGTTGAACTATTTGAAGAGGAAGGGTTTAAGAGTAGATTTGAATAATTGCGGATCAGAAATGATACGTAATTGAGGAGGCAGAGAGTTCCAGAGTTTAGGAGCAGAGAAAGAAAAAGAGCGTTCACCGGTACTGCAGGCCAATTCAGGGGAAAGGGGGAAATCCAGAGATGTCCGAAAGGGGGAGGGCCGAGGCCGATAAAAAAAAAAGGGGGGGGGGAGTGGGTCCGATCGAGATAACACCATCTTAAAGGAAATTGTCTTTTCTAGACGCCCGAAAATACCCTGATGCGTTTGGGCGATCAATTTTTTTTTCTTTTTTTTTTACCATCCCTTCCCCTTAAATCCACCTCTGCTATTTAAAATCACAATATTAAGATTGATCTAAATTTGATTTAAATGTATTAAATATTAATGTACATTGTAGTCGATTTATAGCAAAAATTTTAAAGGCTTGTTATTGGCAAATCCTGGCTCTTTAATTAGAATGAATTAAGTTACATAGTTAAGTAACACCAACTGGCGTTAAAACAAACCTATGAAAACTTTTAATAAATACTTTTTATCTAAACTTCTAAATTCGTCTCTGAATGTTATTGTCGCAGTGTTTAAAGCAATAACGCATTGCTATCAGAATTATCTTCTTCATTCTCATATGCAACCTAACTCCAGAGTAACTTCGAAGAAGTCTCTGCAAAACTTGCTAGAAATTGGAGGTGCCATCCGACCCGAATGATCACATCGAGCATTTATATATATGGCGCTCTACATAAAGAACACTGCGGCACCTAGGTCTATACAATTTAATTGGGCAATAATAAATTAAATAAAGTGCAGTAATTTATATTCAAAAGAAATTCAAAAGAGATAGAACCTCCAACTAGTAAGATGGAACATATACAAAGGCACACAATATGGTACAAACTTGCAATGAACTGTCTTCATAAAGCTTAAACGAGGATAAACTTCATAAACAATATATTTCACCCGAACAATTTAAATTATTAAATGTAACTGTTATCTTTTAAATAAACTCTCTTACGCCAAATCGGCTGAATCGGGGAACATGATTAAGTGTTTAGTGCAAGTACAAACAAAGGTACAAGATTAGTATCAAATATAGAAATTAAGCTAACAAAAACAAAATATCTAAAACAAGTCTACGTTATATTAGGCCTATTGAAAAAAAATTCGGCCGAATTCGGCCAAATATAGTTTGGCCGTGACTTTTCAAATGCTACGGCCAGGCAAGTTTTTTTACGGCCACATTTGAGGAATCTGGCCGTCAAAAAGGTAAAATGGCAACCCTGATGCCAACTCGTACCATGGACCAGATAATACACTATTTGTCAAGGTTTGAGACACTAGTCAATAGAAAAATGAAGACACGAGGTTTCTTGTTGCGATATATTTTGACTGCAAGTTTATTAATATTATTGCTTAAATTTAATGGAGATTTATGAAATAAAGTATTCAATAAATTTGAATGTATATATATAGTTGAAAAAAGCAGACGCAGACATAAATTTTCTCAAAAATTGTAGAATTTTCGGCGTTTTCCCTAAATTTATTAAATATTGTGGAAGCGGTTTGGCACAGCGTGAAAGGTTTGGTTTCCCAACCTCGAGGTCGGGGTTTTAATCCCTCGCTGTGCATTTCGCTTGTGTCCTTGAGCAAGGCACTTTATCTGCATTGCTTCTCTCCACCCAGGAGTATAAATGGGTACCTGGTGGAGTTGCTTGCCTCTGCGCTGAATACAGCAGCAACACTTAGCATGTGGATCAAATGACCAGGGACAGAAGCGCTTCGTATCTGCAAAGAAAGAAAGGCGCTATATAAATAAATATATTATATGAAGACAGGATGTGAAACGTGCCGCTTCCAACCACGTGGTGCTGTCTCTTATACACATCTAGATGTGTATAAGAGACAGGTTTCATACAATGTACTTTATAATGCCATGTTTTATCCCAGTCAATATCTTCATTAATAAACTCTTCTTCCCATTTTGCTTGTGCTGATGGGATTGTATAGATTCGATTAAAAAAAGCTATATAACGATGCATTATGTTGTTTGTTTTATGAAATAAGGCTTCTTTTACATCTGGAGTTACTTGTTCGTTTTCTGTTCTTGGGATTAAATTTATTTCTTTCCACTTATTTGGAATTGCATGTAAGAGTGTAAAATATTCAATAAGTCCGTGACTTTGTTTTGTTACTAAGGTGGGGATCAGCTCATCATGTGTTAATATCTATTATTTACCATAATATCATCTATCGTTTTGTAACCAGAATTTAACCATGCTATGAAGTAAATTGATTTCCCACCTCCATAATTTATGTATTTGTTTTCCCATAAAGGTTGTCTTATATAATTTCTCTTATATTTTGTGGATCTAAATTTGCAATATTATTCAGCTTTACTACCGCTTTTAACATCATCATGTAAAATTCAGGCATGCTTTTTAAGTCAATATAATCGTCACAATTTAGTTGAGTAGATTTCACAGTATAGTACATAAAGTACTTACAGTAGGAATACATTTCAATTTCCCTGGATCAGGACTCAATAAAATTGATCCATGTTAATTTCAATGAATTTATCACTGAATTAAAATTGACCATACTTAAACCACCTTCATCTATTCTCGTTATATTCTAATTTTCATATTGCAAAAAAAAAACAACAAACAAACAAACAAAAAAACGAAGAAAAAAAAAAAACAAAAAAAACAAAAAAAACAAAAAAAAACGGGTTCTGAAAAGGTAGGTCTAGAATTCTTTTTATTTATTTATTTTTTTTTTGCCCAAGGGAGGGGGAGTTAGGACCCCCCCCCCCCCCGATATGCCAATGTGAATTGTGAGAAAATGTAACTCGGTCGGAAACTGGATAAACACTTTCTTTCTGTTCCCTCTCCTCCTTCCCTCTTTATTTTCTTGCATTTCTTTCCAATCATACAAAAATCTCAGTTGCGCCGACCATGTCAAATAGTGAATCCAATATAAAATACAGTCACTTCTGAGGCCAATGTAACGGATCTGGTCCTTGTCAGGATGACCACGGGTTTGGCCAGAGCTGTGGGCCCTAGACCTCAGTATATAACAAATAAACTAAAATAATAACAAACTCATAAGATTCTCACTCTCAGTGAGTTCAACTCTTTATTCAGGACGTCCGATTCTGTACAATTACAATTGTGATCACTCACCCTATTACTCCCACGTAATTACAATAATACAGGGGCATAGATACAGGCCTGTACGCAGGATTTTATTGGGTGGGTGCGAATTTGTGGAAAGTGGACCAAAAAGTGGGGGGGGGGCGCTAAAACAATCCGCCACTGGTTTTGAGTGCAAACATTATTCTTCTTTTTCAAGTGTCAGGTCTGGAGCAGACATCGACGACCATAGCACGCCAGACCTCTCTGTTGACAGTCCTCCTTATCAGCTCGGTGTTGATTATGGTGTTCTTTGTGACATAGTCGTTGAGGCTGTCCATATACTTAGTCCTCTGCCGTCCCCTGCTTCTCTTCCCTTCTATTTTTCCACATAACATTTGTTTCTCTATTTCAATCTTCCTGCAGATGTGTCCAAGGAACTTCATTTGTCTCTTTCTGGTGGTTTTTATCAGAGATCTTTTGTATCCTATCATTGCCATGACTTCCAAATTTGTTTTTCTCTCTGTCCATGATATTTTCATGATCCTTAGAACCACATTTCAACGGCTTCCAATCTTCTTTCTGTGTCTTTGCTCAATGTCCAGCTTTCACAACTATATAAGAGCA